TACCATAAACATAGCTAATGGCTTGCCAAAATTTGTTGCAGAAACCATTACAAAAATGCCCCTGCCTATATAGCCATGAATGACTTTTTTTACTTTGGAAATGCAAATTACATTTTCTAAGTAAATATTAGTAGAGAGGTATCTTTTTTGATTTACAGGAATCTGGACAAAATGATGCTTATTTATGCCTTCTTTCATTTTCAGCTGTCTCCTAAAAAATATCACAGCGATATTTGAGACTGCCCAGGACACTGTAGTCTCAGAGTGCACAGTAAAAAAAGCCCTCCTGATTTCAGCAAGAGCTTCGCCTTCTTAAGAACAGCAGAATTGGATGAAGAACTTTGAACTAATACTGACCTTTAAAAGAAGCTGATATTTTGTTATCCTTTGGACAGGTTTGATAAGGTAAGAGGAGATAGAGTTGGCCAGCCCATGTCGTTGTTGTATCTCCTACATGAAAAACACAAATGTTTGAGGACCATGAGCACCAACACTCAGATATAGGCTGCTCTGTGAGCTATGCAATAAATACATGTTAACCACAAATTCTATTTTAGCAAGGAGAAATAAAAAAAAAGACGGGATGACAAGATATTCCAGCCACAGCAAATGGTTATGTTGTGCATCTGCCTGCTCACTTTGGATAAACAAAAGATTATTACCTCCAAGGGTACCTGTGAAGCATTTCAACAAACCTAAATACAAATAGCAACAATTAGGGATATCGAACATGTGGCAACGCATTTTTAAAAAATTAAAATCTGTATTTCTTTTGTTACTCGCAAGAGAGAAAATAAACCCAACTTCAGTGTTCCAGGGAACAGCCAGGACTATCACAGGAAGGCTGAGGTGGAGGTTTCTCAGCATCCCCTGCCAGTTCAGCTGTTAATAGTCACAGAAAGCGTTTTCCCCCACAAGGGGGAGCACGAAGTACCATTGCCTAACTGAAGGAAAGCGGTTACCAAACCCTTAAAAAGCAAACAGCCACTTACAAACAAAAAAAGTATAACCTCCACAAAGCTAAAGAAGGAACGCAGAATTAGATAATAATTAGATGGGATAATTACAGATTTCAAGTGCTGATCATGGTTGAACTTCACAGCCAGTGCTTGCCATTTATCACAGCATTGGATATGTTTTAGCCACACAATTTCAAACAGCAAGTTACGCACTGCAGCTGTGTGCTTTCTAACCATGATTACAGTATCAGAAATTCCCAAGATGGGATACACATGACATTTTCACATGGTCCAGTGGTGGACAACGGAAGCTCCTGAAGTTACCTGTGCACAGAATTAGGTCTTCACGCTTCTAATCTACTTCAGGTGGATTAGGGGATGGAAAGCTCTGGATAGACTGGTTAAAACAGAGGGTTCAAAGGCGGAGGTGGCAAGAACACATTTCTAATATAGTTTTATCAGAGCCCTTTTTTCTTTTTTAAAATAGTGTTTATTAAATTTTATTTGAATTTTTTTGTCATATCTGCCCGATTTCCTGTAGCTTATCTGCTCTTCTTCAAGCACTGAAAACTTAACAGAGGCTTCACAGAAAGGCTTTACCTTACAATTTTTAGAATCCCCATCTTCTCAGTGATAGACTTTTGAAATTAACCTCAAGAGCTTCAAGGATTTTTTGTTTGGTTGGTTTTTATTATGTCCTTCCCTCTACTTCTACAAAAAAATTCCAAAAAAATTTGTGGTGTCACTACACAGCTGGTAGCTCAGCACAGTGGAGCAGGAAATAAAAAGGTGTAGAGAGCACTGTAATTGAATCATCTGTAACTAGACGTTCAACCAAAGCACCCCAGCATATCCACAAAGTCCTTCAGTGTGGCCAAAATTCCCCAGCTAGTGCAGTTCCCTAAAACCTCAAACAGCTGCTACCTTTTGGTCTTTTCTTAAGCAGAGTATTACATGTAGACCAAGTAACCTAGAATCTAAATGAGCGGTGGTTTAGCAGCTCAGAACAGTGCCAGTCAACTGAATTACCACTACATTCAATTACAATTTAAAGGTGCTCCAACAAATTTAACAAAGATTTCCATCTTTATTACATACAATGCAAACTAAGCACATGAAAATGCTAAGATTTGCAGAATGTGCTTGTGAGAGCTGAAGATTCATGTCTTAGCCGTTACTGCCTGAACCTGCTTCCAGTTCTGAACTGCTCTGATATGACAGCGACTTTTTACATTTGATTTGACAGCTTTATAAGACCAGCTGAGCAATATAAGTTAACCATGTGAGATATATGATTGATTTTCTTAAGCTGACACTAAAACGCAGCATTAGTACCAGGAAACTTGCATTGTCTTAAGAAATCAGGCACTCCGCATAACTGCAAGTACATGACTCAAACTGCCAAGGCATACTTTTAAAGATGGACACAAAGTACTTACATCAAAGTATGCTCCTGCATGTTCTAGTATCAGCTGGGTAGAATCTGGCTTATTTTTACAGTAAGTAACATACATTTGGAATTTGTCTGCCTGCAGAACAAAAAAGCAAATTTACACAGGTTATCAGAGAGCATAATTTCTGTCTCAAGAAGTTTTTACACAGTTATCAAAGAGCGTATCTTCTCTCTCAAGAAATTAAACCGTACAGAATTTTCTCCCATTCAAACCAGCAGCATAAGAAAATAATCAGGTGAGTAAGACTGAAAAAAATAGCAATGTATGCAAAAGTAGATTATTCATAGCTAAGACAAAGATACCAAACCAAATGTGAACACAGGTTTAGGCAAATTGCATAACTTCAAGAGCAGCTAAGTATTGGCATCTGACAGCAGGGCCTTCATTTTTTCTCCCCAAGGAGAAGGTAAAGGTACTTTTACAAATTTTACAAATTTAAAAGGGACCTGAGAGCAAGAATATATCCCTTCATGCTTCCTATCTCCCTTGTTACTTCTAAACATAAGTCTGACTTCATTACCCATGTAACGAAGCAGTGTCCAACGTCTTCTGGTAACTGTTCATATTTTTCCAGCTCCTTGAGGAATATACTATGGGTAGAAAAGAAACAAACAGTATAAGGCACATGAAACATTTTCATTAGAGAAGCTGATATTGATCTATTGTCTGCAAATAAAGGTGGTTAGAAAACTTGCTGTAATTCATACCAACAGCATGAGTTAAAGAGATAAAGATAATAGGAATGGATAAAAATGTGTGATAACAGAACTAATATAAAATCTAATTCAATACAAATTCTGATGTGAAGATCAGAAATTGATCCAGCAGACATACATTTAACACATAAGATTACACAAATTTAATAACTGCTGTTGTTCTCCATCAAGGTTTCCTACTGTTTAAAGAAAAATTTTTAACGTATCCAATAATTTCTTAAAAGCCGAAAGGTGTCCAAGACTGACAAAGACAGTTTCTAATGGTGTACCTACCTGGTTGCAAAAAGCAACAACCGAAACAACTGAGCAATGAGACAAGAAATCCTTTAGATTTTTTATGGAAAAGCATCCATTATTCATATGCACAATATTTTCACTAGGAAATCCCTCAGGTCATCATTTGGATTTAACACTAATATGGAAATGGAAGATAAGTTACTCACTTATTGTGGAACTCATAGATTTCCTGCATGTTTCCAAAGATAATGTGTTCTTTGTTTACAATACCAGGTGGGATCTCCTCAACTCCACTTGTCATTTCCCATAGATATGTCTGCCCAGAACAAAAAAGGCACATGAAAGTCATGATAAACTCTGAACAGAAGCACCCAGGTATCTGTAAGCATGCATTCCTGGAGAAAAATCGGGGAAAGATCACGCATCATCGTCATCATCATCTCCAGTTGTGACAGTACCTGTTGTATCAAATATACCTTGTGATTTTGACAGTAAAACCCAGGTTCTAAAACTGACAATTTAACATAGTCCCCGAGACTTCATCATTTAAAATGCACAGTCTTGTTGACAACCTCTAATGCTTCAGGATATTCCTTATCAAGGTCATGTCTGCAGTCTAGAAGTTCATGCTTTGTGCAGTAGCTAACACTGAACATTACTTGCTTCAGCGTAACAATTACTGGGCACTTTTCCATGGAATCTCTCTGAATTTCTATTCAAAAAGTCAGCTAGTAGCAGAACATGTGATACAGATAACAAGAGAATTAACACAAGCTCTTCTCTATTGCTAGCAAAGCAAATAAAGTAAACCCCTCCTTTTTCCCTCCCCTCTCTAAAACAAAAAACCCCACACATTTATGAATTGGGAAAAGAGCAAATGCTGAAACTCGGTACTGATGAAAGCAAAACATATAGGATGAATTCCGAAGTGGCTGTTATCAGATGTAATTCTAATTTTCTTCTTAATAGCAGAAAGATACTCAATTTGGTCCTATGACTGCAAACCAATCATGCTCAGCTGCTAAAACCAGAAAGAAACAGGAAACAACGGATTGAATCCTGTCTTCAAAGATTAGTGAAAAAAAGAAAACTTACATCCATGCATTCCCGGAGGTCTCTTACGTAAGCCTTTTCTGTCTGAATTAGCTCAGCCATAATGAACCTTAGATGACAACAGAAAGAATAATCAAATCTCAGTCTGTTAGATCATTATGAATGCATAATAACCAGAATACATCTTTCTCCTCATCAGCTTTTGCTTTTTCCACTGCTGCAAGAAAAATCTGAGAACTGATATGTGAAGAGAGACAACAGATGAAGGAAACGTAAGAGGTAACATCCCTCCATTATTAACCAGTGCAAAAAGAAATGGGGAAGGAGATGGAATTTTTCCTCAAATGCTTTTCACTTGCTACAGTCATTTAACTACCGTCCTCCCTCCTCCCCTTACACATTTATTTCACATTATTTCTAAAAAGAAAAAAAGCATGTTAAAACAAGTCTAACCTAGTTTTGAAAGTTTAAGATTCTGACATGCTAGAACTATCTGCGAGAACAAGTATGTGAATAAAAGGCAATAGGAGTTGTTGAGTAATATTGCTCTCTTTTTACCATTTATCCAATTTCTAAGCTGCCAGACAAGCCATGACAGTTGTTTCATTATCAGAATTGATTTATGCATTCTCATTGATTAAAAATAAATAAATTTATTACTCTTTCCTGCGGGCAGACTTTCGTTTTTCTTCGTTAAGCTCATGAGCAGCATCGCGCAGTTTCACCTCTGACCCAGGGACACTGGCTGGGATTATATCCAGCTGCAAGCTTTTGCTCTTTATTAAAGAAAGGAAGAATTGATTAAGGAAGGAGACAGAAGAAAACGATAGCGAAATCAAATGCAAGCAAAGCTTGTTTGTCTGTCATCACACTCAAATTTCTCTTACCGATTTATTGGAATCGGAGGAAATACCCAGAGCTTTCTCTAAAGAGGTCCTGTATTTCTCCATGCGCAGGGAAAAGTCTCTGTACCTCTTATCCACTGCTGTGACACATTTTTTAATCTCTGTTGCATGAGCATGCCCTTTTTCACAAAAGCCATCAGCCAGCTGTATCAACAACTTCACCCTCTCTTTGGTTTGCTACGAAAACAGGAAAATATCAAACAGTTACTAGCTCTACCTGTCATGAAGGTAGTAATTTTGCTTAACCTGCTACTAAGTGCAGCTGGAGAAGCCAAAGGAGCTAGCTTCCTCCTCTCTCTTCCCAGAACTCCTTTAAACAGATACCTTTTTCTTAAAAATAGCACAAGATGAATATAGGTTTCCTTGGGTTTTATTATTACATGACTAGAAGCAGGTTGTTTATTTTTCTTTCAAAAGTGTGCTCCATATGTAACCCAGACATTAAATTCTCCTAGACAAGCTTTAAAGAGCATGGGTATTCTCCTCATATCAATACAACAGGGTTTTGATGCTAAAGAGGATATTTTGTTCATTACCAGCAAAGCACCGGTATTGGACCTGGCCCACAGTCTCAAGAATTTACCTCCTTTAGACATCACTGAAATGTTGAGATGGAGGTAACTTCTTGTTATACGCTTTACACTTTAAGGGATTAAGACTATATTCTTTAGATCTTTTTTTATATTATGTTATGTTGTTACACAGTTGTTTGAGAGAATCTAAGAAAACAAGTAGCAGCCACCACCACCACCACCTGTAATTAAGTGCTCTTCCCCATTAACAAGCTGCCTAAGACTATGCACTTTCTTTCATATAAATCATAACTCATCCACAATGGATGAGTTTAGACCTCCACCTCTCTCTCTCTCTCTCTCTGATACCATGTCAGTGTAAACTGTACTGTCAGGGCCCTTGGTACAAGGGAGTTAAGCAAAACAGTCCATAAGAACTTGACTTCTTAATGTCAGTTGGAAAATCAACAGTTTGCCTTTTTTTTTTTTTTTTGTAAATTTGTTATTCTTTTTCTTTCCTAACAGTCCCTCATCCGAGCATTTCTTTTCACTATGGAATTAGCAAGGGCTAATACATCCTCCCAACAGGTAGCGAAACGCCAAGGGAGTGGCACTAACAACATCCTTTCAAAAGGGGTACCCACGTCACGCGTTGACTGACAGAGGAAACAAGGGGGGCAGCGGTGCTCTGCGCGCTGGAAGGGATCCAGCAGAACAAAGGGTGGACTAAAAAACTCAGAAGAAAGAAAATACAGGTTTGAAAAGCAAAAGTGATCTCTGTTATTTCTGGATTCTCTTTTCTCCCTCCTCACATGTCCCATGACCAACTCCATCTCCAAGTCTCTTCTCTTCTGAGGTGGTCCTTCAGACAAATGACCACTTGCTTACTTCCTTGGCCTCTATTATTTCTCTATGAAATTTGGAGAGCCAAGATGTGGAAATAGGTGACAGTTTGAACAAGTGACAAAACGAAACACAGACAAGTTTACGTAAGCTCAGGTACTTCAGTCACACGCTAGTTGCCTGTCTTTCACATGCGAAAACTTTCAAGCCTTACAAGCGAGATCCACATCTCTGTATAGACCTCCAGAGATGCAGAGTAACATAACACTGCCGTGGCTCAAGAAGTTACAGCAGAATCACAGAATACTTCAATAAAATGAGTAACCTAACAAGTAAAGCTTTAATTTTTCTACTATCTCCTAATTAAATCACAGCTGAATAATAATATGCCTTGTTGTATTTTATATCCTAAACGCATACACAGTAATCCAGATGTGAGGATATAAAAGTGGAAATCAAAGGCCCTGCAAGGTTTGTAGGTATTTTTAAAAACATTTTTAAGCTATCTCCCTACAATTCCATCATAAGAAATCAACTACACATAGGGCTGATGGAGCTCCCATAACAGTGATTATCTTCTGATTATCTTTTGGTTTATTCTATTCCCAGCAGAAATACAGAGAAAAAGCCACTGCAAGTAAACAAATCTTGATGGACACATCCTTGGGGTTTTTTTTGGGGGGAGGAGGGGAGGAGGGGAATTTGGGTTGTTTTGTGGTTTTTTGTATCTTGCATCATTTTATGTATTTACTTTACCTTTGCTGTGATCTGAAATTCTTCATGTTCTTTTAACAACTCCTGAGTGTGCTGGATACTGGAGCCAGTGGAAGTATGCGTGGATAAATAAAACTCTCCATTGTCATGAATCCATTCTAGAGCCTAAATAAAGCAATAATGAAGGAAAATTAAGAGAGAAGGCAACATGCTTTTGCCAATAGAAACCATCTGTAATCAGTATTTCACAAACACAGATTGGCCACGGCAAATTTTATTCTTTGTCACTCATGGCAGTCATCTAAGACCTCTACAATATCAAACAGTTTGTAACTCTGAAATAATTCACTTAGTCTATGAAGCAATGCTTAAAGAATTAAAGAAAAACAACTGACACATGAATCCAAATACTTCAGGGAAGTCCACTACTACAAGACTATAGCAGTCCACTATTAAAAGGTTCTAACTGACTACGGTTTTGTTAGTATACTCCCCAGTTGAGCAAAAATCACTTTTTTGGTGTAACGCAGGACAGCTGTACTCAGAAATATGCATTTTCCAACTTTTAAAAAGTTTAAAAAGACTGCCAAATGTGGAGGCTAAACTTTCCAAGCGTGTAAGATTTAACAATCATTTCACTCTTTAGTTGACATGTATTCCAGCCTCACAAAGTATGGTCTGTAGTTACACATACTCCTAGAAATTAAACCTGTAGCAGAGGAGGAATGGGTGAGATGTATCAGTTAAACCAACAAATGTACGCATAGGTAGTAAAAGACAAGAACTAAGAACGGCAATCTAAAATTGTTTCCATTCCACATCCTGGTACCTTACTCTCTCACTATTATGAACCAGGTTGATCCAGGTTATTATCTATGTTCTACCCATGTTAATATTTGTTGCCCTTTTAAGCACAATTCAGTATTTGCGAGGAATCCTACTCTCTGGCTGCTGGAAAAAAAAAAGAGTCCTCTCAAACTGCCGCATAACAGTAAAAAAAAAAAAAAAAAAAAGTAACTGAAGACTGCCATTATCAAGCTGTTTTGCAGCTCTTAATACAGGCTACTACAGCAGCATGCAGAGGCACATGAACATAGAAACTTTTTGGTTCTACAAAGTATCAGATGTTCAAAGAGTTTAATACAGCTTGCTTAGAATTTCCTTGTTACTAAATGCGTGTGTACCTTCTGTGTCTTCAGTAAATATATACAGCACTAGACAAAAATTTAACACCCCAAGAGAGAAAGTAGTAGATTGCTAGCGGGTCCTCATTCTTCCTTTTCTCTCTCATACTTTGTTTACCCTTTTACCTATCCACATTACCAAGAACAGGAAAAGTTTTATCTTGGTGGACAGTAGATACGTATTTTTCAAGAACATAACTTTACACTGAATCAGAAAAGGCATCATCTGTATTGTAATTCCACCAACAATTTAAGATCATCAAGGCTGTAACTGAACAAAGTTAATTCTCTTCCTTCCACTTAGGATGCTTTTGCCTCTTGGTACAAAAACTGAAGTGAGTAGAAAGGCTTCAAAATTCAACACTGAATGCGAATGTGAGGATGCCATTTACCTAGTCACATACTAGTGCGGATGCAAGCCTGATGAGATGGGCCTGTACTTTTCAAGCGCCGCTGATGGAATCAAACCAACAACTCTGGGACTAGTGTCAAGAAAAGGGACATTTCAACCAACCATCTGTACGATGCCCCTTGTCATTCTAATGTCAACCTTTGCAAGTGAAGACTGATATGGACAAGCAGCATAGCTATCACTGATACTGCAAACAACATTTATTTTGATACTTCTCATTTTTAACTTTTTAACCTCCACCTTTTTTTGGTGGGTTTATTACACAATGTTGGAATGAATAATAAACAAAAAAACTTCCCCTCCCCAAATGTTGCCCTTTCATAACTTTTTGACAGCTCTCTAGAGCCATGACATGACAGAAATTCATCTAGATGTTAATTCCTACAGTTTAGATCAGCTCTCATTTCATGTGAGGATCAGAATTGTATGTTGGAGACATGTATCACCATACAAGGAACTGGAGAAATCAATTTAGTGACCAGGTGAGCCCTTAACTCTGGAATGATTTGAGAGTCTACCATTTTCCTCACAAACCACTATGGTATCTGCTCCCATAGCAGGGCATCAAGTTCTGAAAGCACAAAGAATGGGTTCTTCCAAACAAAAATCTAAATGAAGACCGCAATATTTCCATTTTCCAGCTAATCAGTGTGGAGTCCAATACGGTTTGGGAGCACTGAACTGGTGATTGCTGAAAAATGGGATTTACAATGAAAATGCTGACAGATCTTTATCTCCAGCGTTTGACTATTAGTCAGTAATCTCTATACAAAAGCAAGTCAGTCATGTGCTTGGCAGAGGCTGGAGTTAAAGTTATTCAAAAGTGGGATGGGGGGCAGGGAAGGGGTGGTGGTGGTCGTTTAAAGAGGTATTAATCTTTAACTTCACTCCAAGATTTATCTTGCGTTACTTTTTTTGTGAAAACATGAAAGACAGACATTAGAAATCTTTCAAGAGATCAAAACAGACCACTAGTATTTAAGCCTCTGTCTATATCGGCTGTCAGAAAGAAAGAAAAAATTAGGGTTTTGAGTTCATTAAAGTATATCTAACTATATTTCACACTACAAGCATTGTGTCCTGTTCTGCAGAACAGGAACAGATAGCTTCCTTTCTTTGTCCTATATCCAGTTAAAAAAAAAAAGTAGTAAGAAACCACTGCAGATCATTCCAGTTACTAATTCTGCCTTGGAACTCCCTATTTATTTTTATGGCTTGTGTTTTGATTAGTGAAGTGGATTTTTTTTGTGTGTGTGGTAGTTACCTAAGAATTCTTTCCAGACTGATAAATTCAACAAAATACAGAGAGGAGAATCTACCATGCAAGAAACCATGAAACCAAGTACATGCAGAATTGCAAAAACTTTCCAAAGTCATTCAGTTATTGTTTAATGAGTTGGCCAACTTGTCAGTTTTCTAAAACTGCCAATCAACTTAATTAATGTTTTTTCCCCCCAACATCAGAGAAAAAATGTTGCTGCTTGTTATCTTCCTGGCCAAATCAAGTGTGTGTGAAAGTTAGCAAGCGTAACAATTTGTCAAACACGAGCTTGCAGAAATGAGATTCACCAGTACCAGATCAAGTGGCAGAAATAAAACACTACCCTTAAGTTACAGCAGTAAAGACACCCTGCCTCAACAGATTTAATTGTTCTGTATTAAGGAAAAGCAAATAATTTAACTTACTTTGTATTTTAATCATTGATCTTTCAGCCATTTGAAATATTGCAGTCAATGGCAAATTTGTTATTGTGGGACAAGTCAGCGTATGTCAAACCTCGATCACACTGAAGAGGATTTTTATATAAAACCCTCACCTGTTTGGCACTTCTTTCAAACACCACGTACTGTTGGCATTGATCAAGACGTCTTTTACGCATGGTCCAATAATGCAGCACACGATTCTCCCTCTGGAAGAGTTCATTCAAGATATCTGAAGAAATGAAAATAGTTTCACAGAGGTTATGACAACCAATTTTGAAATATCATATTAAAATCAGCAGAATAAAGTACTTTATATTGTAGAATTTACCATACACTTACTCTTTGTTTTACTCTTTTTCCTGATATTCATGAAACACAGTGTTCCTGTTTCATTATTATTTACAGAATGTTGGTTAAAGAAACTAGAGATGCAACTAAAATGTACTAGTAACACCTTTCATCTCGCAAATACTTTTCATATGGGGACTTCCACTGTTTATAAGAGAATTGAAATTGTAGTCTGATAAAGGTGGTTCTTGATGGGGTTTCCTCAGAAAGAACGAGCATGCACAAGTAATCACAACATGCTTAACATCTCATATTAATAATAATAATAAAAACCAACTTTTCTGAATGTACCAGTCTCCTATAAAATATTTTAATAATTTAATACATATGGGCAAATACACAGCCTTAGGTCACTACAAGAACAAATGCAACATAAGCAGATATTAAATGTACAGAAACCCAAGTAATAAAAAAAATACACAAAATTACTAAGTTTGTAATTCCCCTTAAAAAAAAAAAATTACAACCAACAGCAGTATAATTGAGTAAGCTGACTTGTTTAAATATGAGTGTTCATTGAGCCTTGGAACAATTTCCAGGTAATCAAATAATTAACTCCACGATTTCTTATTCCATTCCTGAGTATCTAAAACTGTCTGCCATTGGGAAGTCACATCCAAATTCCACCATTAACCTGCAATTCCATGTGTCTGGCTTACAAATTCTTCCTGGATGGCAAAGACCTTCTGCTTACGATATGCAGAAGATTTTATCTGAACTCTGCTCCTTTAATGTTTATTGGTTTTTTTCTTCAAAGAAATCCTAGCATTTTCTTGAAGCTCACTTTACCCACTGCTTCTTCCAGAGCAGCAGCCCTTCCAGACTTTGTAGCTACTGCAAACCCAGGTGGCAGGCTGAAATACATGGAAATGGGGACACCCGACGTCTCTGCCGGGTGATTCTGTCAGAAGTGCAAAGAACCCAAGGGGAGGTCTACCAGAAGCAGAAGAGACTACAAAAAAGGCTCATTCTTCACAATAATGCTTTACTTGCTTCTCTGCTTATACCTACGCTGGCTATTTTCATAATTATGAATGGAGGCTCTCAGGTGCTAGGCCTCCTAACGCCTCTGCACTCCCCTGCCCCACTGTGTAGGTCCACCATGCCTTACATCCCAGAAGCTAACAACTCCAAGAAACAGTTTGACAGAGAAGCTCAAATAAAGGGAGCCTGAGGGGAAAAGCATCTCTCTCTGTCAGTGATCTGGGACCAATTACAACGGCTCATCACAGACTCCCTGAGGATTATGAAACCTGTCTGCACCGCTGCCAACGTCCTCCTGCTTGGAAGCACTGTACTGCACTTGCCACAGAGCACTGAGATCACCCAGGACTTGCTTTTGGTTGGAATCTGGTCACTGGAGCCAAGGCTTTCTTCCTGCTGGGTAGGCTACCCTCAAATATGCCTCCACCGATCTGTCCCTTAGCCAAGCCATGAGCTGATCTGCTATGAGCCTCACCTGCTTTCTCAGTTTTATTTCTGCCTTACGCCACCTCCAAAACACTTGCTCAGAATATATGCCAGATTGCGGGGGGGGGAGACACAAGGACGACTATCATTATACAATGCAATACACCCAACTCAACACACCATATAAAAAGAGACATCTTGATACTGACGCAAGTGAAGTAGTTCTGACAAAGAGCAAGCAAGGTGAATTTAGCTAATTGGAACAGCATTTGTCCTGTCAGGACATGATACAGATGGCAAGCCAGTGAGAGACATTTGGCTGGGCACTGTTAGTGTTACTGCCGTTAATTTCTTGGAATGATAAGGAAGAGAAAAAATTTTCTATAAAATACTCAAAGGAAGTTATAGAACATCAACATTTAATACTAGGTTTGGATGAGCAGCTCCATCTCAAGCCTTCTGAACTACAGTCCCTGTTGTTGTTATTTTCTTTGATTCCAACATTTGTTCGGATTGTTCCCTAAATTTCCAGCTTATTCTCCAGGCTCGGAGAGCTTCCAGCTGTCTCTATGGATCCTGCACTCTCTATCAACCTATCTAAAAATATCAGCACCACTAGGCAAGTTCCTGCACTATGTTCAGTCGCAGCCCGTACAGCAGAGACAGAGGTAACAAAGCAGCATGTGAAACTAGCAGTGGAAGTGAAGATGAAGATGTTCCATTTCTGAGCTTACAGCAATTGTCACCGACTGAATCCACCTGCCACAGCATCATTTCAGGCCACAGCTCTTTCCTGAAATTCAGCTTTGACACAGTGTCTGATACAGTATTTGGATACTCTTTAACTGCAGGTCACGAAAATTATTTACACTGGTATGAAGGGACAGAAGGACACCTCTCAAGAGTTCAGTACCATTGTGAATCCTGTTTCCCATGAAGCATGTGCTTAGCTAAACTTGGCCTAGATTAAGGTATTGCTTTTCTAGTTATCATCATCTGCAGCTGGGAATAACGATCAAGTAATGCCACTGAATGAGGTTTCTGAAAAACATACAGCAGTTCTGCAGAAACTCAAGGATTACCCAAGTTTTTAAATTGTTCATTTATATACTATATACTGATCACAGTCTGACACACTGTTGCAACCATACACCACACCTCAGTATGAGTGTGCAATGGTCCAGCAGAACACATGTAACCTCTATTTCACCAAAATGAAATAAACACTCTGTTGGTTTTTTTTTTCCCCCTCTATCTATTTAGAAAAGAAATAAAAAGAGATTTTTTTTCCTTACATGCATACTTGAACAGGAAGATCAGAGTGAACTTTTATATCATTTGGTCAGCTACCACCATACCACTGACACCCAAAAGGAAGGAGTCCTTCCTACTTTTACCTTGACCCATGTTTAGTTCTCAGAAGCATATATTACATGGCTTATGGGGAAAAAGCATTACAGCACATAGCTTATTTTTTTTCCTGCTTGGGGATTTTTGTTGCCTTTTAAACATGTATCATTCATCCAGGATTTTAAATGTACACAGAACATGCAAGGTACTACAGTTCTGACACACAGCTCTAACATTTTTTCCTTATACTCAGTAAGCATGGTAGCTACGACTCCCTGCTTGCTTCTGCTTTGTTTTCTAAGAGAAAGAGCTAAGTGACAAATGTCAGCAACACTTCTTCAGTTATTGATACTGCCAGCATTTGTGTTGAGATTTTGTCTTGTACAGTTCTATAAATGTTGATGCCTTGGGGACAGAGGAAAAACAATCCTTCGTCTTAGCTCTATGTGCTCAAAGTTTCAACTGCCACAACCCAATTATTTCCTTAGAGTGAAAAGTATGGCCAATACCCTATTATCTTTCCAACACAAAAAATTCAACACAAGAAGATTTTCAATTTGAGTACTGTCAGATACATGGGTAAGTTTAACACAAACTATTTTCCCCTTGTAGTAAAGTGAAGCATGTCCTTTTCTGATAGAGTCATCAAATAATTTAGAGTGGAAGTGACCTCTGGAGGCCATCTGTTCCAATCTCCTCCTCAAAGTAAGACTAACTTTGAAGTTTTTCAGGGGCTTGTTCAACCGAGTTTTAAGAATTCCCAAGGGCAGAAATTCCACTACCTCTCTGGGCTACCTGCTCTACTCAGTGCTTTCTCACTCTTGCTGTAACACTTTCTCCTTATATCCATTCAGAATTTTCCTTGCTGCAACTTTTTCCTCTGGTCCTATCGCTGTGTTCCTCTGCGTTTGGCTCCATCCTCTGCATAATTCCCCTTTGGGTAGCTGCAAACAGCAATTAATTAGACAATTAGACTTCTCTGGTTTTGAGTCTGTAGCATGGTCTGAGTGTTCAGTCATAGCTTCAAAATGCATCAAGCAGAATACAACTGGCAAATAAATGACTAAAATGCAGTATTTATTTCAGAGTCTCTCTCTGTCTGATCTCTGTTCTGCCTACCTCACCTATTAGTTATGCATACCCTGTTAATTTCTGTCCTTTTGTCTCTGAAAGCCCTACAGATTTCTCTCTCTACTCGATTCCCCACAATGCATGTTACACCTTAAAGCTGCACTACCTTGAATTAATCCCAGCAAAACCCAAGCCCCATGTATTATTTCTTCCCTGCCTCACCTCAGCTACTACCTATCTACACATGTAATTTAAACATGATGTCAGTTATCCTATACTTCATGAAGTTCCTTAATACTGGTTCAACTATATGAAGGGTCCAAGGCCATGATTCAAGGGATTATCTGATATCACCCTGGCACTCCCAAGGAACTCACAGAATGCACCACACTAACACACTGAGTAAGCTTACAGTGATCAGCTCCCATTTGGCTTCAGACCAAACATTATCATGTGGAAGTTTACTATCTCATTCTCTGAACAAAAGCAGCACATTTGAGTCTCAAATTGAAAGAAGATTAAGTGTAAGCAGAAGATAAATAAATTCAAAGCAACTTCATTTGGGTATAAGAGAATTTGATGACTGGCAGCTCCTTCAAAGTGTGTGAGCAATTTTAATTATTTCCTGTTAAGCCTGACAGAACCCTTTCCACTTGTGCAGGCTTAACTCTCCCATCATCAAACACACCACAACACATGATGATCATGTTCTTTGGAGAAAAAAAGAACAAGAAACCCCTTACTTTTGACTTGTTGTTCAGGTGCTTTGATGTGTGTCACCATCCCTGGCATGTTTACGCTGTTCCTGTGCAGGTATTTCAGGAAGACATCAGCATTCCTCCGAGCCAGTGTGCAAGCCTAGAGAGTCAGCGGTATTACTTTCTTTGAAGATGCACACATATACATCCAGAAAGAGATGAAGGACCTTCCTCATCCGGCTTTTGTGCATTTCCCACCCTCTCCAATTTTAAAAAGCATTGTTTGTTAAATCCTTCTACAAGTAAGCCAACCCAAACACTAAAGTAGTTTTCCCAACAATTAACAGTTAATCCTTACTTATCTGGCAGAAAAAAACCCAAACAAAATGTTATTACTTTTTATCTGAAGATCCTGAAAAGCAATTACCTGCTCTAGAGCTTTCAGCATGACTCAGAGCTGACAGAGAAGTTTGTTTTGTGTATGTGTCATGTGCCACTTGAAGTTACTTGTTGCATAAACAGAGTGCATATGCCTATGTAATCATCTGGATATTCAAAAACATCCACCACTATTTTAAACAAAAAGTAAACACTCCACCGAAGTGAAACCAAAAGTGCCAAAATATTAAGACATGACCTTAAAATACTAAGACAAGGCCTTGAGAGCTTTCAGTCCTTGCCACTGTGATGCCAACACTCAGCTCAGCTGCCTTCTTCATCTTAATGTACACCAAGTACTACATATGGGCTGGCTGCCTTATTTTTAATAAGCAGAACATGTAATGCTATTTTAAAAGGTTAGATAAAGGTGGCATGGTTAGATCCAGTAACAGAGACACTAAGTCATTTCTCAATTTGTTTTAACACAAAGACTGGAAACTCACATGCCAGCTGAGAACAAAAAGACTAATAAAACTAAGTTTTATACTCTGATGTCTATCAAGGTGATGCTGGAAAAAGCCTTTGGTTAGAGGGTTAGTTACACTGCTTTGCAAGCATCCATTACACATTTATTCAGTATGCTCAATAACCCTCTTCACTAGGTTATTAGTTGGAACGAAAACTTTTCATTTATCTGCAGACTATTACATAAACCCAACTACTCCCAGATGCTTGTCTAGCAATTTCTTCCTTCTGTATTCTACTGTAGTCCAAGTACATCTGAGAGCTGCTCTGATGCTCGGGCAGCAATGGCACTATGTGACTGTCACTTCTCTTACAAAGCAGCAGCCCTTAAGGATTCTTTAGAATGACAGTGGCTCAAAGCAGTGATTCCCAATTCCTCTTCAGTCACAGTGGGAGACCTGACATCTATTGAAGTTCAACAGGAAATATATTTATAAAACTGGCTACAACTTCATGCACTTGGCAGTATTTTCCTAATCACTGTCACAAGCAGTTAACGTGCCATTTCCCAATCTTTGCAATCTGGGACATGACTGTAGCCTTTGAATGGCACGGCTGCTTTCCACATACACTTCAGCACTGTAAGAGTGAGCATTTGACTGCATGCTTTCCAAGACACAGAAGACCACAAAAAAAAAAGCAAACCCTACCTTTAGGAACGCCTCCTTCTGTTCCAGGTGTTTGCTTATCATGGGAGTAACATGATCTGTTTCAGAGTTGGGACCCAGTTTGTCTGCTCCCCCACACCAGTCTTCTTCTCGCTTGTATTCTTGCTCCAGGCTTTCCAGCACACTGCACACCTATCAGGAAGAAGGAATCAAACATAATTCAGTAAGACAAAACTTCCAAATTCAGGCCAACAAAAAGGAAAACCAATCTACCCCTTAGCTTCTGTACCTTAGCTTCTGGCATGTTTTGACTGGGACTTAAGAGAAGGCAATTAACTTTGGCTGTAGGTTTGCAAGCAGTGGCCTGCTTACATGGAGTTGCTCAGAAGGCAATCCCTAAAGTTGCTCATCTTTCTCCGCCTCTGTGACCGCATAGTGCAGGATGGGTTTAAGACATGACTGCAGAGGAAGCAACCTTGCCAACCTTGCCAACCTTCCCCCTAACTCTTCTGCAGACAAGTAGGATGAAGCTGATTTTTCTGACTGCCACACAAAAAACAGAATTAGCGATCTGAAGTACTTCCATTAAAACCTCTGTGTAACTCGTTTATGGTTTAAGCAAAACTTCTTGACACAAGCAAAAATCCAACTAAGCACTTGTACAGTGTGTTTCGTCTTGAAAATGTTTTACAAAACTTTTCTCAATTAAAAATAAGAATCTGAGGAAGATTAAAAGGGAGAGTGACAGAAGAGGCAGATGAAGATTTGAGTCCTCACCAATAACCACTGCACTTTGGTAGTGTACCTTCTTTGAAGTTTGCTAATCGAAGCAAGTGTAGCCAGACCAATTACACTGTGGTCTCTTAGTAGTTGGTACAATTTGTCTACTACTCATTTATCATAGAATGGTTTGGGTTGGAAGGGACCTTTAAAGATCTCCTAGTTCACCCCCACTGCCACGGCCAGAAACATCTTGCACTAGATCAGGGTGCTCAAAGCCTCATCCAACCTGACTTTGAGCACTTCCAGGGATGGGGCATCCACAACTTCTCTGGGCAACCTGTTCCAGTGTCTCATCACCCTCATCGTAAAAAAATTTCTTCCTTATATCTGATCTAAATCTACCCTCTTTCAGTTTAAAACCGTTACCCCTTGTCCTGTCACCTACAGGCCTTGGTAAAAAGCCTTTGTCTTAAAAGACCACTTTATATACTGAAAGGCTGCAACACATGGCTTCTCTTTCTAAGGCAGCTTGTAAGAGGATTTGCTTTTTGCATTTTTTGTATAACCGCAGTTGTTATCAAATTAGTAAATATAAGCAAACCTAGTCAATCTTTTTTTTTAGGTAATGCTGTTTTATGCCACACTGAAGAATTAACCAAGGCAGACACAAATCACATAGCATTTCTGTACCTGTTCAGAAGTTTTATAGAAGGCAACAGAAGCATTCACAAGCTTGAGACGGTCCTCCATCTTCAGCATCAGTTGTTGCCAATGGGAAGCAACCTTCTCTGCACACTCCCGGATCATATCCATGTCATAGTGATTAGCCTGAAGCTCTGAACCTGCAGGGCACTTTGATGCGTTTTCTGACAAGAGGTGAAAATTCAGGAGTTCAGTGGAACACTTCAGTTCATTTTCTTGAAGACCTCAAAGGCACATATTTCCACTGTGTCAATGATACTTCTATACACATGCACAAACACCCATTAACTAAAAATAACTGTCTAATATTAGTCACTGCATGACTTCACTTATGCAAATACAAAGGAAATTAAATCCTGTAGAGATTTATCATCAAATCAACGACTAGCAGTTTACAAGCAACAGCCACTGCATAGCATTAAGCCACACATGGCACATCTATGTTGCAATACACTTTGTTATAATTATGAATTTCAGGTTGATTTTTTTCCCTTCATGGTGAGGAGAGAAAAAGATGGAAAGGATGTATCTTCTTTTGGCTTGATTGCTATTACTGTCCTCACAGCTTTAACCGCATCCTTTTGCACGTTAGTAGTGAGCAAATGAAGGTGCAGGCGTGCAGGACAATACAAAAGACAACTTTCCATTCACTGTAAGCAAATTTTTAACTGCAGCTCTCTGTGTAAATGTATACTTGCCTGAAATCTGGAACCTCTAACTATAATAAATATTATTATATCCAAGTACAGAATGATCCAGAAAACTCAGAATCTAAGCTTCCTAATCATCTTTCCTTAAATTGACAAATGTCAAAAAAACCCCAAACCCCACAACTAGTGAGGGGGAAACACAAAACTCCACAGAATGGCAGACAAACATGAAAAGAGTTACTGCACAACAGACTACTTATGAAAACAGTTTTCCCAAACAATCATAGCTTTGGTTAATCTTTCAACAACAGTAAAAGTTCTTAAAAAGACTTGTGCTATATATAATCAATACCACCATAAGTCCCTCAATCACACATGTAATTTAATAATACTGCGTTCTAGTCAATCTTAAGATCTCTGCCTATTTTTTGCAGAGATATGACCAATCTGTTAAGTTTAGTTTGAAATCATGGCAGGAGGATGGACACACCACCACACACAAATTTCAGTGAAACCTACTGTCAAACAAAAATGGAAACATTAAAGGACCATATGACAATATGCAAACCTGATGTTTGCTGTTCCATTTATTCATAACTTTAACAATTAGCATTATACTGTTGTATTCTAACAAAGGGAAACCCCATTTTTGGTAAAATTGCTGTGAACAGACTTGTTCCATTTATTATATTTTTTTTATTCCTCTCCAATCAAAAAAATGGCTATCACTTTACAAAGATGCAAAAAAGCACCGAGAAGATCTGTTGACCTAGAATTGCAGCTCCAAAATGAATGAGAACAAAAAACCCACCTTCCCAGTAAGTGTTTTTATCTCTTTGCCATAAGATGATTTCAACAGCTTTTCCTAAACTCACAATATTGTAGCATAAACCAAACAGTCTGAGAAGGGACAGAAAAGATTAATCTCCTTACTGCAGTGCTATTCACAGAGACTCATGAACTGTAATACAGGACTTCTTGGCTATGGTCACCGAAATGGTGCTTTTACCTCTATTGCATGTTGAAACTGCTCATGTTCCCTCTGTAACTGTTCTGCCTCCTGCAACGAGCTAGCGGTGATAAGCCCAGCATTTAACATTGACTCCCCATTTCGGATCCAGCCCAAAACCTGTAGCAAAAGAGAAGACCATGAAACATGCAATTCCACTGCCAACCAGCAAGAAAAGCATCATTGCTAGGGACAAAGACATCTAGGGTCACAAGTAGTAGTGGAATTGATGACTAAATAATGTATTAATTATATATTTACAGTGAATTATATATTCAATAAACACAGTGAATGACATTCACTATAATTTCACTTAGCTGACAACTCCTATCTTTCATTCAATTACTAAAGGCTTGTGGTTTCAATTTATACTCTGAACAAGGTTGTGTTTCTGAATACCATTTCTGTAACCTGGAAAATAGGAACAAGCAATATTTGCTTAAGAGCTAGTGTCAGTAATGTAAATTGAGGACATGCAGCTTAGTAAAAAGTAAGCAAATAATTCTGAATATTCATGTTGAGAATAATGTGACCACTGAGTGTCTTCTAATTGCTTGAAGATTCTTTGTTTTCAGGATGTACCTTCTTTGACAAGTCCACTGAAAACAGAAGAATCCTCAGGTGGGGAGAAGCCTCAGGAGGCCACCTAGTGCATTCCTTATCAACAGAAGGAACATGCAACCTTAAGGCCCCTCCCAAAAGATCTGTGCCTTGTTCATTACTCAGGACTCCAATAATGGATATCCCACACTCTCACCAGACATTTTTATCACCGTAAGCCTTCTTTCTGAAGTCTAACACTCACATCTCTCTCGCTTTAATTTCAGCTCATTTTGTTTTTCCTGCCCATGACAGACAAAAAAACCCAACCCCAAACGTTTTCTCCCTCTTAGCATCAGCTTTGATTTTCCCTCTCTTTTCTCCCTCAAGAACATTACTTGATCCCCTCCTCTAGGCTCCTCTTCTCTTGTTGACCCCAGTCTCTTCAACCTCTCCGACACGAAGTTTGCCACCTAATTTTTCTCACTGCTTTTTTACGAGTTCTCTCCAGTCGAGAACCATCACTTTGATCAAAACCTTTCAAATACTGAGTAAAGCTGGGCATAATTCACATTATTCACTGTTATCTATATAACTTTTCTATGGAACTGCTGCCCAGCCAGTAGTTACCCCTGTGCTGTATTTGTTCAGCTTATTATTCCTGCCAGTACATCATGCTCTGTATTTGTCACTAATAAAATTCATATCCTTCTTACAGTGCAATTCTCCCATACATCAAGATAATTCTGAACTGTAATCCAGTGTCTTCTGATGAACTCAAATCCCTTTCCCAGATTCTTTTGCCTTTATCATCAAATGTAAAAGCATAATCTCTACTCTAGCATGTAAATTTTCTGACTGAAAACATGAACTAGTATCCAGACTTCTACAGATTTCTTTTTTTAAAGAATTTTGAAATCTGTTTTCCAATTCAGTCTCTTAACCTCTGTTACTGCGTATGGTTTTCCAGCAGGTTATCATCCATGGCGATGTAGTCTTGTATGACATTCTCATAGTAAGCTAGGGCCAGACAGACTTAACTAAACTATTTTAAAAGCTTTAATAGAAGGAAGATCTATGCCATCTGCTTTTTCACCTCCACACAGAATACCTGTTACCTTGTCAGGAAGAAACAGGATTTATCAAGGGGAAGCTATACTTAACTAATCTATGTTAGTGTTTACTCCTCTCCTCGTCACTGTTCAGGTTTAATAATCTACTTGTTTCGATATTTTTCCATGGAACTACGTTAAACTAGCTGATTTATAATCCTCCCTTATCTACTTTTGAGAAGTAGGTGGTGAGTTCCAGGCCTCCAGAATCTCATCCGATCTTCAGAAGTTTGGAGAAGATAAGCACTAATGTCTATGACACTGTTTCAGGCAGTTTTACAGGTATTCTAACGTGAATTCATTTGAGCCCAGTTGATTTGAAAATAACCAGTTGAAGCATACCTTCTCTAACCTTTTCCTACAAATTGATTTTACACCTTTAACCACTGGTAGTAATTATATTAACTACCAAATCACAGTTAGCTCTTAACACTTACTAAGTACCAAATCACAGTTAGCTCTTAACACTAAATACGCTCATCTAGTGATCCACATACGACACTATTATTAATGCTGCTGTGCCAGGTTATTACTAAGTGAATCAGGATGACATGATCATAATCACAGACTGAAAACACGTGTGGAAAACAGGTAAAGGACCTATTAAAACACAAATCCTTAAAAACAAAGGCATACGTGGTCTACATCCAAACTACACCCTAACATGTCTTTAACAGCTTGAAGTAACTGAGGTCTAGCCATTTTGACACAACGTCCATTCCCTCAGATATGCATCACAAGCTCACCTTTTGTCTTATGTTTACCCAGACTACAATATTGTTGTAATAGGAATGCAGTTTTTCCCACTTCTGCCTGCACAATGAATTGCTAACAAGTTTTTTTTTTTTTCCCCTGATAGCATGTATTTGAATACTTCTATACAAAACCTGCAAGTCTGTGGAAAAGAATAACTCTGCAGCGTAGATGCAGGACATGACAGCAGCCCCCAGATGTATACCTGGGTGCACATTCTGCTCGTCTGGGGAGAAGGTGCTGGGGTCAGGTGGAGCCTTGCAGGGGGGCAACAGCTCTGGCCTTGGAACAACCTCTCCTGCCACGAGGAGACACTTCCAGGTGATAGTGTGGGGCAGATGAAAGGGACCATGAAAGGAGCTGGGAGTCTTTAGGTTATTGAGACACTTGGGGGTTGTTAATACTCAAGGGAGCAAGCCCAGGTAAGCCTCAGGAGCAAGAGAAAGGGAAACTTCCAAGGGAACCAGATGCATCCAACAGACTGTAGAGAGAAACTAGGCTTGGAGGAAAGGATTTGTCTGTAAGAACATCAGGGGCAGAAGATTTTTTTAAATCCCTTTTTTATTTCTATTTTGTCTTACAAAAGCAGTTCTAAGCTCCCTCTCTACCTTACAAAATAATTCTTTCAGGTGTAGTGTAATAAAACACACCTTCTTAGGGTTAAAATATGTTTAGCCTTCTCCAGAGAATTTATGAAGAAGCATGCTTAAGCAGCACCAATTCAAAGCTCTTCTTGACTTGGCATCCCAGCATACAGAGCAGGTAAAGCTAGCAGAACTTGCCATTTCAAACACACTGATTTGCCCTCCTGTTTGTTGCAGGTTAGGGTGCAAGTGCAGAAGCTGGTGGAACTGAAAGGAGGAAAGCTGCCAGCAGCACTTTCCCCTTCCCTCTGCTCTGAGTCAAGGGGAAAACATAAGCGCTAGTAAATAGTGAGCCTGTTCTTTTTCCAGGACTGCTGCCCTCCACTGTTTATTGGCATGTTCCCATCACCTCACTGTTTGGGTGGATCACATATCCATCTTTCCCCTCTCAGCCTTCAGCAGGCTAGAAAAGCATCAGCAGAGCATCAGCAAAACTGTGGAAATGAAACTGAGAGTCTGGAACAGTTGAAATGGTCAAGCAGGTAGTTCCATAGATAAATGCTTGATTTAAGATTAGTTTCTTGGACCAATTTTTCATTCTAACTAAACATGATCATGAGACACACCTGCTTCATGCTGTCCTAGCTATGTTTTCATATCCATATGGCACTATACAGAGTGCCAGGACACTCTTCCGGAGTAGTATTTTGGGACAATCAGAGCTGAAGCACTGGACTGTGTTTGAACCAAGCTAAAAGATCTGCATGTGAGAACACAAGGCTGCTCAAGGTACTCTTGAGGGTACAAGCTTGTACTTGGTCCAAGTATCTGTACACTGTTGTACAGATATGAATATATAGGTATATACCCAAGAACATACACCATGATCAGAGCAGCAGACAATATTGCACTGAAAAAGCTTAATAAGCATAGTAAAACCAATGCATTTTGGAGCTTGGTAGAGATTTTGACCCAGGCAGATGCTGCATGTTAAGTAAAGCAAAGCATTCGATCTACAAAGTGAGTACGTGTGATTGCAGCAGTAAGTAATCCAGCCGCTATGTTTTAGGTGAGGAAAAAAAAGTTTGTTTGGCAAACATGCAAGTGAAGTTCTGGATGAGACTGGTATTTTCTGAACTATTTCTCTGCCTCTACCTACTCATATCCCTGCCCTGTATAAAATGGTCACATTTTCCTTTCCACGTTGTTTTTTCCACATACAGCTGTCCCTTCTTAGTTCAGTGAGCATCCTCTTCCCCGTGTCTGCTGAGGTTTTCCTACAATGCACTATTCTATCTGGTTTTGCCCTTTCTGCAGCTATTACACATCAGGTTGACAAGCAAATTCTTTGCAGGTTTTCTTTAAACCTCTGTTTGTCTTCTGGCCCTTCTGCTTCCTTCTAGTCCTGAGGCTTGATCTACTGCACCTCAACGCCACAAAGCAGAACTGGTACAGTCGTTAAGAGAGAAGCAACATTGGATGTTTTCATCTGCTTTCTGTGCTTATTTAGTAAGAATTCCCTGAACTTGAAGTTTCACTACCTAGTACTGAAAAGACTCCTTGCAAGTATTTGACTGAAAAACTAAGCTAGGAGACAGTTTGCTGGTCTCCATTACAGTAAGCTGAGAGATGAACCCTATGGAAAAATTCCTGCAGTGTTCCAGTCTAACCTTTTCACATGACTACAAGCTATATATTTTTTTTTTTTGTGTGTGTGTGTGTGTGTGTGAAAATACAATAGCAGTAATGTCAGTTCGGCAGGAAAAATTCAAATGGAAATCTTGTTAAAATCCTTGCTATGGACAGTATCCCATCTACATAATAAGTATGTTTGCACGCAGTTCATCAACAATAAATCTGGCAGAAAATCATGGTAATTGAACTGGAAAACTATGTGTTCGATGCTTCAGGCAACAAAATACAAACAAGACAGACTGAAGAGGAGGTTTACTGTGTCATTTTACTCTAAGATAAAGCACCTGCTGTGACCTGCTGAGCTATGAAGTTTTTTGCAGTGAGAAGGAAACAGAAGATCATGCTTCCTGATATTTAGTAAAAGCTAAAATAAATCAGATGTGCTTTTCTGAGAAGGCAACTGACGTCACAAAACTAAAAGTTACTAGCCCCAAAGCATTCCAAAGGGGATCAAAAGAAATCCTATGAGAAAATAGAACATTTTGGTTTAGGTCCATTCAATTTTTAGGCCTTCAGATTGGGGAACTATTGCAGGTTAATCTGTACAATGAAAATCTGTAAAAGGACTTTGCAATACACAAACATTCTGTCAGCTACATGTTCATGTAAGTTTGTTTGAAAATTCAGGTCTATTATGGCATTTAATTCAACGTAAAGACCCACTCGACAGAGATGTGTACCAGGAATGTAAGTAGAATCCATTTTTTCTCCAAAATCCCTGTCTACTAAAAAAACCCACAGCTGGCTAGGATAGTATACTACCTATATCTTTACTGTAAGACAAACTCATTTTTTCCAGTGCTTTCTTAAAAATCTGAACTTGAGCTTCAGTTTCAGTCAGGGCTAGCAGTGGTTCAGAAATGTTACAAAGATCTTACAGAATGACCTACAAACCAAATACTAAGTGCATCATGGATATTTGTCTACAGCCTGTGATGTTCATCATCTGCTTGTATCTGCCAAAATACAGAACACTTGTTCTGCAAACACAGGTTTTAAACATGTGTCTCTTTCCTGTCACATTTAACTTGCTTACAAACAAAGCTAATGGAGCAAGCTACTCACTTTATTGTAGGATCACGCAATACAAATAACTATTTAACAGTGTGTCTTTGAAATATTACCCAAACACTATATTCTGTTCTGTAATTGAATATTATTTCAGTATGATGGGAATTAACAATTTCTTTTTCTTACTAACCCATCCCATTCTAACCCACTGATGTACAATGAAGGGATGAGACTGCCTCAGCCCGCATTCACACTCTTCATTTTTTCTTTCCTTTGCAAATGTGCGCTCTTTTCCTTCATCCTCAAGACAGTATGCAACTGAGTACAGAATCTATCCTGATCTGTAATAACTATCAACAACCATTACTCGCAAGAAAGGAGTCATTTGTAATTTGAATTTACGAACATGAACAAGCGCTAAGATGGATACAGGATAGTTCAGTAGAGTATGCAAAGGCTTGAACTAGAAGATCATATATTTGATTAACGTCTAGATTGCACTGACAGCAGACACTACCGGTCCCTTGCATTCCTTGAATTCAAGACCGCACAGAAACTTTGGGTCTGTTACTATAGAGTAACCAACCGCTGCCTGGAAATGCTTTGGGAACCTTCTGTTCTCCTCTCCTCTGCTACCTGAACCCCTTTTATATTACTTTGCAACTTGGGAGTTCTCATTCACAGTCTCAGGAGGAAGATGAATTTTTGTGAGAGCTCATGGCAAACAGAAAAAGGACAAGTTGCACTGGGAGCCTTTATGGGACATACTAAGACAGCAGACTCTAGTAGACTTCTGTGATGCTGCCAAGTACGAGGAAGATCAAAGCCACGTACCTCTCTAGCGTTTTGTTTGTTTGTTTTTTAAACTTTCACCTACTTCAGTGGTTTTGCCCAGAGCATCTCAAATGCACCAAAAGTTTAGGTGTTTATCAGATAAGGACCTCAAAACTTGCCAATTTATGGCCAGGAAAAGCAAAACTTCATTTTTCTTCTCCTGGAAAGTAAACCCTACATTGTCACCATTTGTGGATGTATTAGGTCAGCATTCAGGGAATGTCGCTGAACATTTTTACTCATCACCATGCAGATAATAAAAGTATGGATTATTTAACATAAGTTCAAAGCGCTCTACACTTCATATTCTTGACTTGTATCCAGGTAGAAATATGGACCATTAACGCAAGTTCCAAACCATGATATTAACCGAGGCTGGAGTTTCCTTGGTGCTCAATTCAAAGCCCCTCCCCACTCCCCACGCAAGACTTTACACAGGGGTCATTACCCTTCCACCTCTGTTCACGGGACCAGAGCCCCCCGAGAGGTGCGGAACAGCCCCGCGGGGGGCGCAGCCCACGCGTACCTGCTTGACCTCAGCCTGCAGGTGCCGCAGCTGCACGCACTGCTCCAGGTGCTTGCGGTGCTGCTCGGCCGCCACGTCCAGCTCCTGCTGCTTCTCGTGCAGGAACTCCAGCAGGTCCTGGACACGAGTTGCCATGTCCACGTCTCTGTCACAAAGCAGCTCAACGCCTGTAATCAGCCAGTCGTTTATAATGACTTACAAGTCTTCCAAAGACGAACAGCCCGCTCCCGCTGTTTTACACTTACTTTTCCAGTTCCTTCTCAAAGTTCAACTTAACCCTCTGAGCATTTGCTTAAATGAGCATAGTTTTTGCACTCTTTAAAAATGCCCCCCCCCCATTTTTTTAATTTGTTTTTGGAAGAAGCAGCCTGAGATTTACCCTAGGTGACTGCACACAGTCAAAAACATTAAGTGAAGGGGCATAAGAAACCAAAAAGGAAAACTTATTACTTAAAGCTGAGAACTGTGGCTTGAGTGCATTGCTCTGATTAACTATAAAATTAACGCCCTACTATCTTATTTTACTACTTCCTGAGTGGAATCCCTTTCTTAAAAACCTACATATTTTCAGGTGTTGCCAACTCTTAGATAAAAATTACATGCCATAATGACAACATTCTCATGAACACAAACAATTTGAGTAAAAAGGAAAAACGAAAGTCTCCAGTTTACAGTTAACCAGCATCTCTGTCATTGTCACGCATCCCATGGAGAGACAACTGGATAATTCTCATAAAGCCACTGCCCGGAATAGCATGAAGGAGCCATCTTACCAGATGCCTGCACTTCATTGACATACTGCAGCAGATCCTGCCCTTGGTGGATGACATCAAAGGTCAAGTTATTCATGGTCAGGGCTTTGTCTGCATGATGCTGGAGCCTCTGTTCTGCTATTGTAAGATCTTCAGTGTCAAAGTCATTCATCTGCTGAGAGAGCTCATCATTCCAAGACTCGAGGTCTGAAATTATCTGGGGCAAAAAGGAGGAAGACAATGTTAACTTACTCATTAGACAACACGTTTATTTTGAATGCCGCACTTACGACGCAGGTCAAGAACTTAAGTTGCTCGTTGTTAACTGACTTCACTGATCAGGTTCAAGTCATTCAAACATGGGCTTTTTCAGCATGGGTTTTAAAGAAGGAGAATCTCTTTGAGAACCACAACAGCCCTCTTCCAACCAGTGCTTGCAACACTATGGGTACCCTTGCCTTGTTTAAGGTACTCCTTCACCAACACATGGTTTGTGAAACAGGTGAAATTAAAATGTTTTTATCTTCACTTTTAAAGGAAAATGTTGATCAGAAGCATCTTTTCAATTGTACATACCACACCAAGTAATAATTCACACATCAAGTGTGAGCTTAGCTTTCAATTACACCAGTCTCAAGCTCCTTTACAAAAAACCAGCTCTACCCTTCTGTGAGCACCTTCAACTTTTGCCAGACAACTGAGAAGCACTACTTGTCACAAAAGGCAGGATATATAGTGAATGGAGCAAAACCAAAAAGTATTACTTTATTACAGCCTTACTGTAACGTCAGAGTTAAATTTACTTGCTGGAATCATTCAGCTGCACTTCAGTTTACTCTTCAATTCTGGAGTTTACTCTCAGCCATAAGATGTCCAGAAAAGGGTAGCTAAGGAAGCATTTTTTAAACACATGCACCACAACAGTAAGTCCTACTTGTCTGCCCACACAAACGCATTTTTCATATCATATTCCAGAACCTGGCTGAAATGTAATATACTCCTTTTAATTAGAATACAAAACTGTTTTTAAGACTAATAGATAATGCTTACAATCTCCATTGATCAAAGTGGATTGAGTTCTTATGGCACAGGTTTGATGCATCAGTTACTTATTCCAAACAAATCTGTTTGACACACTTATCCCTCAAGCCTGTAATCAATTTTTTTCCAGAATGTTCAGCAGAGTTTTGCCACAAACTACTGCAGTTCATTGGGAAAGCAAAATTACAGATAAAGAACCAAGTATGGCTTAGCTCCAGAGTTCGACGATTTCAGGAGTAGGACAAACCGATGTGAATGCTGCTGAATGACAGGAAAACACCTATTTATGCAGCAAGACACAGCAAAAAGAGGATCTGACTAAACAGGCATTAGCAACAAAGTAGCTGGCTGCATAAATATTTAACTGAAGTAATTTGTTGTCAGCAAAAGGAATATGCCACTACACTTTCCAAGTGGTTAATCAGAGCTGTGAAGTTTACTGAGACAGTCAAACTACAAGAGGAATTCCAGGAAAACAAGCCTTGTAGAAAAAAACAGTAATGAGGAGAAAGCAAAATTAAAACATCTGTATAGTTTCTGTAGTCAGCTACAATCTCTCTTGAAGGGTTGTTTCTATTCTGCTCATGACACCATAAAAAATGGACACATCAAACAATTATTTTTAAAATTGTGGCATCAGTGAGTTTACTTCCTGTTTTAAAGGTGTTCTGCAAAAATTTCACTTGATTCACTAAGCATTCAAGTTTTGCATCATGTCATGATAGGAAATACCAAACAATTCGGATAGGTATTTGCAATCCCAAACACTGATGAGCTAGCTCCACCCAAGTGAAAACAGGCAGGAACTCATGTTTCAGGGGTAACACTGAAAACAAAAAGGCTGATGGACAAGCGATGCAGGTATACAGGATGAGACCTTTAGCCACTGCTTAAAGCTTCTTTCGCCTCTCTTCCATGTGCTACACACACAGCCTATTTATGCATTATGAGTGGTTTCCCCTCTCAACACACACAGAGGCTTCCCCTCCCACAAAATGCTTCACAACTTGCTTTACTTCCCTTTTACTTGGTCCATGCCCAACATGTCTCATCACATCTCTTGACTCTTCATCTCCCTTTAAGTGACTTGAAATATTTCAGAAACTTCAAGTCTTCCTCACAGTCCAGCCTGAGATACCACTTACTTCCAGCTAACCCCTCTTCTGCTTAAAAAAGGTTGTGAAACTCCGCCATCAAAACATTGTCTTTCACCGTCTTTCTAAACACCAGTAAAAAGTGGATTGAGATTTAATGTGGCACATTTGTACCACTGTTATAAAAACAAAGCCAGTCCATCTCCCTTCAGAACAGATGCCAAAACCTTACCTCTCTTACTATCAAATTGAGTGGAAACATAGTAATAAACACCATAAGCTCACAATGGGAGACTGCTGTGTCTAAGCGTCAGTATTTTTATAATAACAGAATTTAAGTAGATTATAGTCACTATGTCCTCTCAGACTATCCTGAGATTCACTGTACCTGAGATGAACGACAGGTAGTTTGAAGAAGTCAACACCGTGTGTCACCTCAGCCAAGAGGTTTCAGTGGTACTCCCTCCAAAGAACAGCAACAACAGTACGCTTTATAACTTCTTCCCATGATATTTCATGCAACCCTGAGGTTAAGATCATGGCCCACAAATTGTTTAAAGTAGTCTGAAACACTGTACAAGAGCAAGACATTCCCTGTCCCCTTCAAAAGACCAGAAAGCCCACGATTCAAATAAATAAATAATGCCAGCCTGGTCCCGCATTCACTCAAAAGCTAAGAAGTCAGTGCACATCACAGCTAGGGTCCTAGCAAGGGCAGTAATCCTTACACTTTTGCAGCAGTAACTGGGTGGCTCAAGGTGATCTATTTCGGCCATTGCACCCACCGTGCAAATCCAAAACACATTCAGGGCAGAGTTAAAACAAAAATAACATGCATAAAGCCCATGCCCTTTAGGGCTTCCCCTGCAGTTCTGCTTTACAGGCAACACTTTTAGAGCGAGCAGGCTCCTATTTTGTTTTTACAGTTTTGTCAAGACAATTAGCATTAAACAAGCAGAACAAAGATGAATGACTAATAGACATCTAAAGCAACCGAATCACAAATTAATACCGCTCTCAGGAAATTAACAACCCAGATCAAACACAGGGCAACTACTTACCATAGCATGTGTTCAAGAAGTTCCTAGCGCAGAGTCTGAGCTGCCTGACTTTCCTAGCTTTTAACAAATGTAAAGGTAACACCGACAGGACACAAGGCAGAGTATAACACGGAAGGGATGCCAACTCTTTTGCACTGAGTGGGGAAGAAATAAAGAACCACAAGTCTCTTCTCAGAAGGGTCTAACTAGCATTCCTTGTACCAACTGAGTACTAACCATGACCTGGAAAATCCTACGTGTTGGGCAGAAAGAAAAAGGTAAAATGGGAAAGGGAGAAGAGTTAGGTCTCTGTGATCCAGCACTTTGCATCCTTGCCTTTTCAGCTGTATGACTTAACAGGCATCTTGTAAGTACGGTCCAAAAATAGAGTAGAGATAAAGCTGCGATTTGAAGTGTGTGGTATGCTTTATGTGGAGCCCTGATATAGGCCTCGAGGCATTTAAGTTACAGACAAGCAAAAATGCACAGACACAGATGAGACACACACATTTCAGGCTGCATACATTGCCACCATTGTTACCTACCTACTGGCTAGGTCCATCCTTGTGTTACTAATCACCCTAGCAAGGGACTCTTCGCACACATTTTGCTGCTTCTTGCCTTTAGTTAACACAGACATTCACAATAGAGTCCTTCAAATAGCTCCTGACCAACAGCACTTAAAAGCCTACCGAGGATAGAGAAGGTCAAGTTTATATGCCAAGAGCAAGGGGCAAAACAGAGATGGTGCTCCAGTTCGCAGCAATTTCAGAAGAGCAGGAGAATCTGAAAAGTTGCAGGATGAAAGACAGCAACTAGAAGAAACAGAGTATTTTGTCAGCAAATAATAAGGGAAGAGTAAGGACAAGAAGAAGACTAACCCTGCCAGCAAATCTCACCACTGTCCCCAGAAGCACAGCTGCACAGTATGATTCTGCAGTGCTAGTGCTAGGGGAATCCTTTGTCCCATTTTAGCCTGTGTTATTTTGCAAGCAGTAAGACAAGCTAGAAACACTACTCGTCTTCCAGAAAAATTGTCCTCACAGGATGCTCCCCTGAATGAACTGCCCCTACAGCCAAGTCTTAATTGACTGGGCCAGTCACACAAAATCCGGGACAAGGGAGGAGGTCAAAACAAGGTCTGCAAGTTCCTAGCTGGCATCTGGCTCCTCCTCACTATCATGTTACTTCAGCTGAGCTCCTGCTTTCAAACAACTGACCTGGAACTAGTCCCTGCATTTTCTTCCCGGAAGTTTCCGAACAGATGTCTGCCTTCAGGGAGAGGGGAAAGAGAAGCGTGCTTTTCTGAGGAAGCAGAGAGAGGACATGCTACAGAGAAGCAAAGCAATCAACATTTTGCTGAAGACACTCTGCAGCCAGGGTCATTTTGTTCCCTGAAGGGCTCCTTGGCAATCTTAGATAAGCACAATTTTTGTTTCCAAGCCATATAAACAGAATAGACCAACTCTTTAAACAAGGTAATTGGTACTTTGCTATACGTTTTATGTGCCAAAATGTAAAGCATGCCAAGTGTCAGCTTCAGAAAAAGCAAGACCTGTCAAATTAGGATATGCAGCTTTCCGCTGCAAAATTCTATGGCCATCACCAAACAACATACACAGAAGTACTACTATCTATACAGATGCTATCCTGTACTGAAGGACTAGAACACATCAGCAAAGCAGGGCTCCTGCAACCAGCCTTCTGTTATTGTAGAATACTGGTTTAGGTAACCTACAGCAGAGAGCAATCACCTAATCATGAACTTCACTCAAACCTTTAACCTAATTCTTCCATTAATTTTCTTGGTATAGGCCTCGCCCCCCATGGCTGCCATTTCCTCAATAAAAGTGTTCTGAGAACATCACACAGACCCCATCGAGCACTGCAGACCACTGCTGCAAGAGATTGTAAAATTGCTGACAATCCTATAAAAGGGGATACCTTCTATGTTCCTCCACATGTACCAGTCATCCAACTAATTATCACAATCACAATTCTGCCAAGCCTTTGCCTTGAATATGCAAGAGCTACTCTCACATAATCAAAGTAGCAACCTCCCCGCAGACTTGTTTCACCTCCTCAGTGTGAACTGCAAAATAGAGAACCTTCTTAGTCTTCCTTTACACCAGAGTTGTTATTACTGTAGAGCACACACTCTCACTTCCTCAATGGGCATGGATCAAGGAACTGTGTCTGCCTATTCCTGCACTGCTCCTAACAATGTGCTTAGCTAAACCAGACTTCAGCAATGATATCTAAACCTGATTTTAAGGAAAAAAAAAAAAAAAAAAAGCCAAACCAAAACCCAAACCCCAAACAACTGAGAAGCCCCAAACAACTTCTGCTGACTGCTTCTTTGCCCTTACACCATTCATACCTAACCAACAGTTGCAGTTTTTACTATGTACAAGCGAAGTGGTAATATCACTGTAGCTCCCGGTTCCCAGAGTCTAAAGATAAGCCATTGATATACTCAAACAGGATCATTTACCAATGGATAAACCTGAACCTTCTGAGGCACCAACTCAGTTTCAGCCACTGTGTACAGCACTAGTGGTTTTACAGAAGTCATACAGTCAACTTAGCTGAAGCTTTACAATGCAATTCTATTAACCTAAGCTCAATGTGGAGTTTCATGTCTGTTTGTATGCATGTTCCTGCACACGGAGACCTTCCAACTGATAAGCTGTAATCCTCCTCCAAGATTTGGATGGTCTCAAAACATCTTGAATTTTTGCAGGGGTGTGGCACTACAACTGCTTTTGCATTATTTTCAGAGGTGGAAAAGAATCTTATTTAAAAAAAAAAAAAGACAGACAGACCATACAACATCCCTGAAGATTAAAACAGAATTCCAAACACTACTTGTAGCTGTCAACTGAAAAAAGACTGTTGAATTGGAAAAGAAAGAGAAGAGGGGTGTTACTACAAAGCAAAAGTTTAGAGGGTTTCTACTAAACCATCTTGCAAGTCTTATTTAGATTAACTGTAAGCATACTAGTTCTATCAATGTAGCTTGATATTCAAACCAAACTTACCAGATGAAGCAACTGGTACGCTATGATTTTACAAGACATTTGCTTAAAGATGCACTGGGAGCCAATCAGAGCTCAAGTTAATATCAAAAAGCTCAGCTCTGCACTCTCCTACCACTTTCACGTACAAGACAAAAAAAGCCTTAGGTCAGGTAAGAACTAAGTCTAGCAGTCATTTGAGCCACATGCCAATACAACTATGCAACCAGCTCAGCATAAACATTCGTACATGAGAGGAGAAGTAAGAGCAGTGCAACTCCAAGAGCAGACACTCACATCTATTGCATCTCTTTCAAATATGCGGAGCTGCAGAAAAAGCTCAAGCTTGATCTTGCGTTCTTGAAAAAGCTCCTCCATCTGAGACTGGGCCTCATCCAGCTGCTGCAGGACTGTCTCTATGTGGTTGATCGAGCTGTTATGGGGGGTCTTGTTACTAGAAATGGCAGAATCCCTATTCAAAGCAGAGAGAGGGAGAGGAGGGGAAAAAAAAAGAAAAAAGAAAAAAGAGTATTATTGAAAAAAACCCCATACAATTTGGATGCTACACATGACCACAAAATGTAAGACTGTTTCAGATAAGGTCAGTGCAACTCATATTACATGAAAACTAAGTCTTTGTTATGTTTTAGTACTTGAAAAAGCATTAGGAAATTAGATTACTTTCATTTTTTGACTAATTCAACATTTAAGGACATTCTTTTTACAATAAGAATAAAATTTAAAACCAGAGACAAACCCTTATATTGTGAAAAGGAAGTGGCATATGATAACTATTTACTGAACCTTCCTGGAAATGAAAAAAAATCAAAATTAGATAATAATAATTTAAAAAATTACCTAATCTTTTACTTTAGCATAAAACCTGCAAATTCAGGTATGATAATATCAGCTCCTGCAGCAAAGGGGACACGTACCAGTGCAGCTGGGGCCCAAATTTGTTTAGATTGTTACTGAATGAAATGGACTGCCAACTTACAATAAAGTTACTTATCAGTCTTCAAAGCCATTTCAAGTGTCTCTTTATAAAAAGGCTGCTGCTCAGAACTCAAAACGCTGTGGAGCCCTGCATGTCAGACTACAAAGACTTACAATCACTCCTATCACAAAGGTAGCTTACGTAAACAAAATCTCCTTCTTGTGGAGCTAGCGTTTATAAGCTGAGCTTCCTGTAAACAGAGGGTTAGAGACCATCAGTACAGCATGAAACATCATTGTAGTCCTAATATTTACAAGTTTTATTTATAGGTCATATCTCGTAGTTATCATCTCTACCCTCAAAACAGAAAGAGCTTCACAGAAAATCAGACATACACCAGAAGAGATTTAAATAAAAATTTGTTTTACCTTAGTTGCTGTATAAGATCTTCGCCTTCTTTTATGACATTGACTGTAACCTGCAGAGTGGTCTGTTGTTGTTGACCAAAACGTTTAATCAGGTCTTGGACAGCCTCCACAGACTCGGCATAGACATCATCAAGCAGTTCTTTCTGTAACTCTTCAAGCCATGTCCACAGCTAAAAGAGAGGAGAAAAAACCAGAAACATAAGCCCCAGGATCAGGCAGTCACTATTCCAAATCAATCTCCCTGGACAAGAGAAAACAGACTGAGGTGGGGGTGAGAAACAGGATTTGTTTCTCTTTATAGAAAAATCCCATCCTCAATTTAATGAAAACGAGCCTTTGTTTCAAATAAGGTTTTCGCTTCTTGGAAATACCAGGAAAGCTTTATCCGTGTTGCTAAGTCACCCTTTCTTTCCCATTTTCCTTCTACAGTACTGAGCGTATCCGATCGAGCAGCACAGAGTTCATAGCGAGAATCCCATCTGCAGCTCTGCGAGAGAAGTCCCTGGGAGGGAAATGCTATGGTAACACTCCCTGAGAGAAGGGAGGAAGGAAGGAAGGAAGGAAGGGAGATGTATTGTAGCCACCATCAAATTTACACTGCCAGGCTGACACATGCACACAGATAACTTAACACAACACTTCTCAGTGGCCTTCAAAAAAAGGAAAAAGGGGCCTTTCGGAAAACAAAATACAGAGAGAGATCAGATGTGAGAAGTTATTTTTCTATCATGATCCCTATAGCTATGGTGTTTACCCTCTTGATCTCAATTTTGCACTATTACAACAAAAATCATCACAAGTAATTCTCCCAGTTAATTCAACCTTTTTCCCCCCTACTTAACACGTGAACATCCCTGTTCAGAACTGCCCACACATTGCAGCTTATAGAAAAATCCATAGGTATATGTGAGCTACGTATCACTACTGGTCACTTGAACCCTGCCGTGTTCTTTTCCACAATTTCATGAGGCAAGCTGTTGCATCTTAAGCATAAAAAGTATTCATCAACAAACCACCAGCTACCTGTTGTGCAGCTGATAAGAACACTGCTTGAAGAGAGGGAGCACGGCTGGCTGCTGCAGCACTCCGGTGAGCAGCACTAACAGCGCAACACTAACAGCTACTCTCACAGGAAGCATTCAAACTGGGTCCCTCCTCTCTGTTTTACCACCACATCCCAAACCCTGTGATTCCAAGAACAAGGATCACAGTTTGGTTTTTATCCTGAAAGAGTAACTCTGTTCTGATTGGAAGTATTAAGATCTTTTGACTACGTTTTAATCTCTGCCTTTCTACATTTTAGAGATACAAATAGGCTTTAACAACTTTGAACCTAATTAAAAGTTTAACATGGTTAAAATACAGACAAGTAAGCAATCAAACTAGCTTCATTTCAAAACACAGAAAAACAAATCTTTTATTTCTTTGCTTAACATTTTCTACAGAAATACCCATTTCATGCTGCTGTTTCTATAATGTTTGGATCATAAAGGTTTCCTACCTACCAATGGAACTACATTAAAGTAGAAGATTCAGTGAAGGATTCTAGACCTTGATTAATTGGTTCCTTTGAAGCTTTACTTTAAAACCAAATGCTAGCTTTTATATCTTAGAGCCTTACATGCCTCCTGAGGTAGGTTTTGAGTTAACCAAGCTATAGGCTAAATTTTCACAAATTGGGAAGAATTAATGACATTTAACCAGACTCTTTTCTACAAATCTACTACCCTGCCCTCCCAAAACGGAACTGCCTATTCATGGACACTGTGTTATTCTGACTACTCACATGCTTCAAAGACAATGCCTGTCACAGATTTGAATGCAACTCCACAGTTGTAAACACCACAAGCTCAAGCCACAGCAGTCTTTCTTATTAAAAGGAGCACAAATCAATAGAACTTAGCAAGTGAGTCAAAAGCTCTTGTCAACATTCATTCCAGCATGACCCAGTGCAGCATCCAATTATTCCCCCCCCCCCCGCCCCAAATGCTTACTTAGGAATGCAAATTGCACTTCAGGACAAATGAAACTTAAGAGCAAGAAGCCTGACAATACAACCTGAAGACTTTACTCACTCTTCAATGCCCAGCGGACATGCTTTTATTCCTCTCTCAGCTTATGAAGCTTATGTCTGAACTGTAATAATAGGACACTGTGTTAGAGACCTTCCAAGTGAGCTGGTACGTACGCACAACCAGTGCAGCTTGCAACTGTGCAAATATATTCATTTGAGAGTAACACTTTGTTGTTGACGGCAGATCTCATGCTTTTGGTGCTAGCTGGAAGAGCTCTACCTCATGCTTATTGCACCGCCTATAAAAGGCCCAATTTTCAGAGATGTTTATTACAGACAAACTGGAATTAAAGCCATTTTGAGTCTCTTGGACTTTGCCCCTTGGCTCCCTTACAGGCACCTGCACTGTGGCTGAAGGCAGGTCTAAGAACCACTTCAATTTTTTGCAAGATGTCTTTTGCAGTTGGGTTGTGTCACACCTGTACAAGGGACACCTCACCCCTGCAGTTCTTATTTTTCACATATGCTTCAGCCACTTCTGTAACTGGGTGGAGAGGACCTGGCAGGAGCAACGAAACTTGTAAGTGTTGGGCTGGTGATGTACTGTGCATGTGAATACATCCTTTAAAGCTCACCCTGGTTGCTGGAGACCAAGCCAACACAGAACAAGCAGACTTTTCCTTCTCCATAGCCAGTTCAAAGCAACACCACCTGCCTACAGCAGAAAGACATAGGCACTAGCACAACAGAGTGTTATGCCAACTGGCTTAGTGCCTGGTCAGCACAGCATGACTGTAAACATGGTATCTTGCCCCCAAGTTACCAAAGGGCTCAAAAATACACTGCGTTTGCCTACTTCATTAGCTGAATTGCCCACTGCTTGGGCAGGAAAAACATTTTACAAATGTGCAGAAAGAGAAGGATAGTAATTACTATGCATTACTTGTCTAGTTGTGATTCATACGCTGTTGAAAGTGGAACAATTCAAGCCATTTCTGAAGTGACTAAACAGCTCTGTGACACTTACATAGCAAAAGTAACTCTAATACATTACTAAATAAGCTTTTTACACTTTTCTGCAAAGTAAGTTTCTGACAAACAGCTTCCCCGCAAAATAATCTTGACGTTTATACACAGAAGTTAGAATAAAGCCAACACAAATGAACAAAACTGCCAGGTTATTAAAGCTACAGAGAAATTAATGCAATTTACTGAGAGGAGCTTGATTCATAACTGGTGGCAATAGCCAGCTGGCTTGTATATGGCATTAAAATCAGAATAAGCACTGGACATACTGGAAATGACATAAATTACCTTGTTTTCGGATACAAAACTAAGGATGAACACAGCACAAGGTTGCACAGCAAAGCCAAAAGAAAGCAACCAGTTTACAGTGGGGGGTGAACAGAGACTGGAGCTTACCCATACATGTTCAGCAGTGCAGAACTACAGATTTTATAGTGCAATGATTTTCTGAGGCAACGCATTATTCCATAAAAGAGAGCTTGGCAACAAAAATCCGGTGGGGAAAAAAACCTCATCATTAAAAAAATATTAACTTTCTCTCAGTGTGAACTTTTGAGCAACTTCCAGGCATGTTTTTTTTCTATTCTCTGTAAAACGAGCAGCATGAAGATCCCTAAACAAACACCGAGTCCTGTGACCTCAGTAAGAACTTTATCCACCGGCAAGACAGCTCTAATGTACAGTGAGAAAACCATATAAATAACTCGATCCAGTCACATAAGGAGGCTCTTCTGCTCTTTTCATCTGCTCTTCACATCTTACCAGAATTAAAATTGGAGAGGGAAATCAAATTCTGAATCCCTGACAGGCAAATGTTTCACCCAGCAGATTTTTTTTTTCTTGATCTAAATATAGCACAGACTAAGAAACATCTGCTTGAATGAGCCTGCATCCTGTGCTACCTCTTTCCTAAGTTCTTGGGAGCATGCCATTAGTCACCGAGATGGTATTATTTTAATTGTCTGCAACATCCTGGAAGTTTCAGTGTTTCCATCATGGGCCTCTATCCATTTAAATCCCATCCCTGCAATCTCCTGAAAGACCGCAACTAAGCAAGACCCTACAGTATTTTGCCGAAGATACTCGGAGGACGGGTTTGAGTAAATACCTTCCCAAGTGCACACATTTTATTAGGGTAAAATACCTGTCACTTGCTTTTGCAATTTATTTTAATTTTCATTTTTATAATAATGGCTTTTGGATAGTCAGTCAGCCTTTTCAGCAGGGTAAGACAAAGAAAGGCACACAGTTTCTACATTTAAAAACTGCCAGTTCCTCTTTTCTGCCCCTGCCCCCCAGCACAGTGTTGCAGTATGTGTATCACCACATGCACAGTTATTGAAAGAGCTGTTATTTGTACAGGGCCAAATGTTGCAATAGTATTCCCTAACAAGTATATCTGGGCATAGAAGGGGGCTGATATGTGCGTGTCTGCCTGTAAACTCTGGCTTTCTGGACACGCAGTGGACAAAAACTGCATCTGTTTGAAAACACAAAACATAAGATGTTAAACCCCCAGGAGTTTGTCTTCCGGGGTCTTTCAGGGACATTTAAGATATTAAATGCACGCATATTTTTTGAAAATTAGATTTAATTATCTTAAAAAGCTTCAAATACCCCTATCTATTCTACAATTATAATAGAATCAATTTCCTATTCAGAATAAATTCATCCTTGAAGCAAAACCAAGTTTCTCACATCTTCCTAAAATTACATCAACTACTAGTACTCCATTAGCATTCATCCCTTATCTGAATAAGAAAAAAAAATGTCTATACCATAGTTTCAAACAGCTTAAAGGCCTACTTCTGCCTCACTTCTCTCAAGCACTTAGTGCTATTTCAGTAAAGCTTGGACTTAAATTTGGTCCTTTTTTCCAAGCAAAGTAGCTACCAGTATAGAAAAACTCATGAGAGCAAAATCGGTGTTGGGTAACTGGATTCCAGTCCTACCAAACCAGTAAACCACAACACACTTTAGTGTGCCGCCACTGAATGTGTTCGGTTTTTTTCAGATCTAAAAACTGTCCTCCTCAATTCTCAGATTCAAAATGACCAGCATATCAAAGTACCGACCACAGACTGCACTTCATGTATTTTGCCAAACCTGTCACACTGAGCATTGCTGTGCGATAATGACATGAAAAAAATATTAGAGGTGCACAAAAGCCCAAGGGACAGAGCCTTCACACTTCAATGGGGGCATCCAAAAGCTGCTCTGCTGCCTGGAAAGGGAACGCAGAGCAGAGAGCAGCCTTATTACGACATCCACATTGAAGCTGTAGACCACCAGCACTGAAGACTCAAATACGTAGCAGTGACAGGCAACCAGAAGAGCACCACCACCTGAGATGAAACAAATGAAAGGCTGGGCAGATGGACACCCTTCCACACTGGAAAATGCAAAGGAGGGCATATTTCTGGCAGTGAGTCATGAGACAAAGCAAGAGCACTGTCAACAAGCTTTTTTGAATCAAATACACAGGACTCATAGCTAGATATGAATGGATCGGCAGCATTATGGCCAGAGCAAGGCCTCCTCAGCCTTCCCACGCACCGGCACCCTCCAAACGATGGCACCTTCCTTCAACAGCTTGCACAGACTACTGTTTCCTTACTTCTGTGCAGAAACAGCGAGGTTTTATATTTGAAATCTTAGCCAATTCCACTTCCTTTTTCTTTGTTTCAACCTCAGTCTATTCTGGTGTAAAGTTTAGTTTGAGTAAGACAAAAAAAAGAAGAGAGACGTCTAGTAACACCATTAAGCATATTGTGTATACATAAAAAGCGCTCTGAGCTATTTTATAATCAACTTGTCAGAATACACACAAAAGGTTATAAGCAAAGAGCCAACAGGCTCTTAAGAGATCATTCTCTTCCACACATATTCAGCCCTGATCTGTATTCCCACACTTGACTCCAGTTAGGAAAATACCTGTTGCTCTACTTTGGCACTACTACAAACACCTGGCTTGGCCAGGATTTCAGTCTTCCCACTCATAGATGCTGAGGGAGCCATTTCAGAGGGAGTGTGTGTGCACATGTGTCTAAATGTATGCGTATGGCAGAATTCAAACTCATACCAAAACCCTGTTCATCTCTACTTGGTGACAGATTTCACAGCAAAGACTACTACTGTGACTCTTGCTCCTATGTTTTGCACACAACCTTTTATGGTAACTGTTTATTTAGGAAATGTATCTTTTATCTGTGCAATTTTTTTCTCACCTTGTCCCTCCCCGTATTATTAAATATCAAAAGGCACAAAAGCCTTAAGGGATTCACTGTCTTGCAATGGTCAACCGCTTCAGATGGTCAACTGCATTTTATCCATCCTCAGGCTGGGAACCTGCCAGGACACAGTACTTCCAATACAAAGATTCTGATAGGGATATTTATGGTCCCAAACACTTTCAAAGCTCACCACTGCATGGCTTAACTTCAGTACATCATTTCATGAAATATTTGGCTTATAGATTGAAATTTCTCACTGTTTGCATGGGAGATAAAAATTAATATTCACAGCATTACAAACTTAAAACTAGTAGTAACATAACAGCATGGAATCACAATTTATATATACAGCAAGCAACTGATTTTCTTGGATCACCATTAAGTAAAATGAGCAATGGTGACACCATTACATAACATCCTATTTCTGGCTTCCCTGAATACATCCTTTTTTTCTCCAATGAGAAATGTGGTCTATTGAGGTTAGTCTATGAGGAGTTTGAGAACTTATATGTTGTCTTCTGATGTTTGTAAGCCACAGGAAGCTCTACCAGCTTGCAGACACCTGGCTACAGAACTTCTGGAAATGTTAAAGACAGCCAGCACTTCCAACGTGCATTGTAACAGGCTGCTGCACACATACTACACAGCTGCTTTGTGCACAGGTATAGCAAAAGTCTCTTACTTCCAGGACGTGTCAAGCCAATCTGTTGCTTTTGTGGCAAGCACACTGCTTCTGAAGGGAGAAACTGTGCTGATTTACTAAGCATGAACAGAGTTAACAGTACTGCACAGACACTGTAGAGCTGATGCTTCCCAGGGAAGCTGGGAAAAGTTGCAGGCAAATTCTGTGTCAAGTATAAAGGTTATGTAAAGCTACAGGGAAGAAGTAGTGTTGGAATGCTCTCATCCAGATGAAGAGCATTCATTCAATATGAAGTATTTCTGGGGAAAAGAATAAAACACAACAAAACATCCTACTTCAAAAATCAAGGGATTGGATGGATATCGGAGCCAGATTTGAAAGCCTCAAAACAGCCAACAACTCAGATTACCAGCTTTTCTCAGCCCTGTGGCTCCCTCCAAACTGTCACACACAAACAGGGTTTTTATTCTTCATGTCTAATTTTTAGACCAGGAAAACACATAAAAGATGCAAGAAACAAAATGCGTTGGTGGTGTTTTGTTTTGATTTGTTTGGGTTTTTTGTTTGGTGGTTTGGTTTTTCTGTTTTTTGGGTTTTTCTTTAGCAACTGAAACCTCTCTTTCTGGTTCAACAACTAGCATATTATCCTACTACTTGAACTCCTCTCTTCACCAGCTAAATATGCACATTAATTTCTTCACTCCACCATACAGCAGAAAGGTTACGTGCTTACAGGTATGCACTAATTTATTCAGTGACTTTCCACATCCTGCAGAAGAAATGCAGTTCTCCTGCCAAGAAAGCATGGATGACTTTCAGGTTTAGGGCATTTTTATCATCCATCTGCTTTCTGATGCTTTCTCAGCACTCCGTACGCATGTTTGATAACAAACAACATGCTCTTGAAAACAGATCAGAATACAGAAAGCACAAGACAGCTTTGAGCTTGCTATTTCTTTGCACCTTAACCAAAGGACTAGTCTACTAAGTATGAACCACCTGCCTCACTCTCTCATCTATATTTTTAAGTAGAATGCAAATAAATAAAAAGATAGTCTTGCTTACATAAATAAGTACGCTTTTTAATTTTCCTTGTTTTATTAGGTATAGAGGTCAGCCACATAACAAAACAAAAAAAATCAACATGTGTACATCAGCCACAGTACCTTTCCCCCAAAGTCCAGGCTGCAAAGAGGCTGCCATAGGAACAGCTGTGTGCACTTACAGGGTCACAATAATACCCATTTTCCCAAAGAAATAAATCAAGATACCGAGTATCTTTTTTTTTCAATAAAACATTATTATCTGGGGGAGCAGTGGCAACATTCCAGCACATCTGGATCAGCCTTCCCAGAATTACTCAACAGTGACTCACAGATCAGTCTGCCTTTCAGTTTTTTTGGATTTTTTGAAAGCCCTTTCCTTGCAAATCCTTTTACAGTATCCGTCCTTCATCACTACAAACAACTATATCCATTTAAATACCATTCCAGCTGTTCCTCTTGATGCTAAGAAAAACAGATAATGAAGAAATCTATAGAAACAATGAACCCGTTTCAGCAGCTGACTACTCTGGTGCCTCACAACAGGTATGGAACAGCACTATGTGCTTGAGAAAAGTGAAACAAAAAAGTTTCCCCGTAAGAATAGCTTATGATACAGCATTTATGTTTTGTTTCAACAAGCAGAGTCCTGGGAGAATATCAGCAAGGAAGCATCTAACAGAGAACTGATGGGGGAGCTATGTACTCATGTCTAGAGCTAGGAAGTAATTCAATCCTGACCTCCTTCAAAGACCAACTGCCTTGTGCGTTTGTTTCAAGTACAAAGCAGATGTTTCACGTACAAAATACTCCCACCCTTACGCTATACAAGGTTTTGCTGAAGAAGCTACTTTGAATACTATACTTCCCCACTGAACAGACCATTTGTTGACGTAGGGTGAAGGGAAGGAAGACACACACTCTGACATGCTGTGATCCAGAAGCCTTTCATATTTTCACCTAGTTTGGGCAGTGAGAAGATTTAACATGAGCTCCAAACAGAAAACAAGTAAACTATAGTTGTTGAAATTCGCCACTTCCTTTAACCAAAACCCCTTACTGAAGTCCTTATTCTTGCTCTAGGCTATTCTACCCTCTCCCATAAGCTTATAAATTCACATGAACTGTGTTCTGAATCGAGCAGAAAACTGATCTGGCTGAAAATTAAGTGTGTTTGGCTGAATTTTCTTTTTCCTGGTATATCAGTTCAGCCTTTGAAGGACACTAAAAACATGAGGCAAATCATTATCAGATAAGCTCTTTAGGTTGTGAAGAGCCACCAATACACAAATGAAATGTGTAAACCAGAAAGAAAACAAAGTCTCTCTGGGCAGCAGGGTTGCCTTAAGTAGCCTTGTGCTTCTGCCATGCATTTCACGCTCCTGAACTGCATTGTGTCTGACAACTCAGTTAACTGCACTGGAGAGTAAAAAAACCCAAAACCAAAAAAAAAAAAAAAAAACCAACTCAAACCCAACCACAAACACAAACGCAAAAGTGCACTGTATCTCCCCCTGCAATGCTGTCTGTTAGCTGTATCAGTTCCCTGATCTGACCCTCCCCCCTTCCCCGTGATTGAACAAGCATGTGTACTTGCACAATAAAGGAAGTAGAAGCTGCTTATGAAAGTATAAAAATAGTAATTAAAAAAAATTTAAAAATACCCATAAACAAAACAACCACCCTAGTCCAGCCCCCAAACCACAGTGAATTGCAAACCAAAACATTGTACAATAGGGGTTCATGACTTGCTATGGCAAGGTTCTAACAATGAAAGTAACATTGGACAATATCAGTTTTAAGGGTTAAAGTTATGACCACGACTTAGCAGCAGTTTTACCTCTTTAACATGGGTGTGAAAGGACACAGACATGTCCAGCAGGATCTTGCGTTGCTCCACACGCCTAACAAAATCCTGTATCCGGTCTTCCAGCTGATGGGCAGCTTGATAAATTTCCTCCGGGTCACACTCCCCAGTCTGAGCGAGCTGTTCAGCTGCTTCTAGGAGCTTATCTGCATTGGTATACGTGTTCTGTAGAGAAATAAGTTAGTTTCACAGGATTAAGTAAAAGAAAATTCAGTCAGTGTATTTAAAGCTACTCAACTAATGAAAACAAAAAGGCCCTTGGAATGTATTTTTCTTTCTTCTTTTTTTAAAGTTAGTAGAATATAATATTACTATAGATTTTTTTATATTTCTAGATACTTTTTCATTTAAGTGTGAATAAATTCATTCCTTAGCTCCACATTTGTGTCTATTCAAATGTCTCTTTGATCCAGAACTTGGGAGCCTATTTATTCTTCCTTGGAATTAGTATTTTATATTCACAACTAGAATAAAGATCAGCCTAAATTAAATGCCTAATTACTTGCAAACTCGCCTATTTCAACACTGGAAAAATCACTACAGTTACGGCCAAAAGACTTTCGAAATGTGTATTATTAGAGGTAAGAAACTCCTAGCTGCTGGTAGAGATGCTTAGCATCAAATCGACGCATCCACCAAGACAGTGCAAAGTGACCACACACAGAAGGAGAAAATTTCTCTCCATCCTTACATAAGTGAGGTATCCAAAATTCACATGTCAAGTGGATCACCATTTGTGAAACAGCAGCAACAAAGGAAGGTTTATAAGTCAGCTATGGCTGAGCGTTAGGATTAACAAAGGCAGATCAATAAACCCTGGGTCACAGCAGAAAACAGAATGGGAGAAGTCTGGTACCTGATGTGCTGAGAGCGCTATGGCCCAGAGAAGAGAGAGGTGTTTAACAACTACTAAAGCTTAGCACTTGCAGCCTGCATCTACATCTTTCTCATTAATTCAAAACAGGACTGATTCCAAACATTTGCTATAATTTGGGTGCTCTTTTTGAGCCTAACCTTGGGGTTTCATGCCTTAGAATGGTTGTCAAAATGGACTCATCAAGAAAGCACAGAAGGATGTTAACCTCTGAGAAAAATGACCAAAGCCAAGTCTATGCTAAAGAAGCTTTGCTTATGTCACCACATCAGGTCTCCTGATAAGTTTGCACCACAGACTATTAAAAAAAAAAAAGTTATTTACAATATAAACTACATGTTTCTCTTTTCCCTTCTGCTCTTCCATCCTCTCCCAACCTCAATTACATCAGGTAAAAACACTGCTAGTCAAGATAAATTCAGGCTCTGCAAATCTGCTTTTCTTTGCCACAAATATAGTATCACACCTCTAATTAACATTATAATACCCACAAAAGTTAAATCTGAGCCCAGCCCTAAAACTCAACTAAGGGGCCGGAAATAAGAGCTCTCCTCCAGGGTCTCAAGCAAATTACCAGGCAAGCCCAGGACAGATTACATGACTCAGTGCAGCTTTCATATATTTGGGGGGAGTTCCCCCTTCATTTATTATGATCTATTTATGTAAGGAATTCAACCCATGCTGCTCCTTGATTTTGACTTATGTGCATCTTAGCCCTTCCTTAACATTCAGCTTTCTAATTGCACAGAGAGGTAGAGAACTCCTCCCCAATTTCCCTGGGAAAGCCTGCAGAGACTAACATGAGCCTGCCCTTTTCAGTGGGGAGCACACTACTCAATGCTTCAGATCACTGGCTCAGGCCATGTTGGCCCAGAACACATTCTGATCTGTGCTTTGGTGCTTCGACTTCCACGGTCGCAGCTCACACATGTTCAAGGGGCAAGGCTGAAGAGCCTTAAGGCACTCCTTGAACAACTACTTCATCAACCCAGAGAGCCACACCCAGCAGCAGATGGCTGAAACAGAAGTTTCCCATTTTAATGAAAACTTTATCTCACATGTGAAGCATTGTTTATGAATTCCAGGAGTATCTTCCGCGTAACACAGGCCCAGGCACATCAGACTTTTCTTTCTGTAAACTGGATGGTGAACTGCCTGTACTTACAAATGATCACAACCTAGACACTGCTTCAAAAGGGGTTGCAATCCTCAAACCTTAACAGCAGACGCATGCCTTATCACTAAAATTTCTCTTCCAAGTAGAGCTGAAATATAAATATTTATCTTGGTAGATAATAACTGCCCTTTGGAATAGAAATCGCAGCAAATAGGCATGCTGTACTAACTACTGCCTTTCCCACCTCTCTGCTTACTTCTAAACAATGCTTGGAGGGAAAAATGTAGTAATGTGAAGAATTTGAGAATGTTGGTCCCAAGGGGCAGCCTCCAGTTAGAAAACAGAAGGTTAGACAGAAAGAGCAGGAGTTCTCCCTTGAAGCTGCTTATGCCAGTTTCCTAAATTGACAAAGGAGCTTTCACAGTGACAAATTCAAGAATTTTGAAACAGGTTAACACTTCCCCAGTGAAGTTCTAGCACACCCTCCCCAAATCCCAGGGGAAAAGAATCAGCCTGGTAAGAGCTTTAAGAAGTCCTCTAGTCCATCTCTCTGTGCCCCAAGGCATGATCAACTACACTCGAGTCTTTAATACGCATTTTTCTCCAAAATGCTGAAAGACTCTCCATAACAGAGAGTTTAACCCCTTCCCCAACAACATATCCCATTGCTTTCCTAGTCTTCCTGTTGAGAAACCTTCTCTACATACTCTTCAGAAAAAACAAACACCGTATTTTTAGAAAGCATATGAAGTGACACGTTATAGAAAAGTAAAAGGTTAAATTTAAGGGACTAGTGCAGAAATGAGTAGTACTGACAATAAATACAGCAACAGAAGCGAGCAGAGGTATGGACTGAATTTCACACAAACTGGAGTTTACTGCACTATGGAGGGGGAAGAGAGGCACATGGATGGAGGGAGATTAACAGGGGTATACAAATCATTAAAGGCAGAGAAAATTAAGTTATATTACTCATTAAATACAGTGGATGCTATCACGTTTAAGCATCAGACAACACACTTAAAATGAAAAAGCAGAAGTACTTTTTCATCTAAGGAGCAATTAAATTGCATAACTCATTGCCACAGGATCTGGCATACATTCCAAGAGCATAAATGGGTTCAAAAAGTAGCTAGCCTAATTAAGGGAAGAAAAGTCCATCAGTGACTATTAAACACTGTTTCGATGCATCCATCAGTTACAGACATCAAATAAGCCTAGATAACTGGGAGGTTAAAGGTAACTTTTTACACATACAGTCCGTTTTCTTTGTGCGTCTGGCAATGGTCACAAGATAATGTAAGACCTGGACCTTTAGTTTGATGTGTTACAGCCATTCATGGGTTACAGTAAAGTCAAGAATCAGTTCAAATACAGAAACTTTTTTAGCAGCCTTAACAGAGGTGGTAGGGAAGTGATAGGTGTATTCAAATGAGGTTTGGAAGAATCTTTCTTGTGCGTCTCTTGCACCAAGCTGACTTGAGTTCTTTACTCAGGTGCAGTCTGCAGATGGAGGGAAAAAAAAAAACAAACTTATCTGTGGAAGAAGTTTTCACTAATTAATTCTTGCCATACACCTTTCATGTTTTTTGAATGGAGACTACTGTGAAAAAGCAGACATCGATCATAGTTGAAAGAGGAGAAGGGCTCAGAATTTCATACAAAAATGCATAGGGAAGTACAGCCATACTAGTGATCTGCATCCAGTGCTTTAAGCTGAAAATCTATGCCCATAAGTGAATCAGTTATATCAAAACTTGGAGTCCTAACACTTTGACTAAATGGTCTCATGGATACAAAGATGATCATGGGGAGAGGGGAAAATAGAAGAGGGGGGTGTGGGAGTAGAAAGTGAACTGGACAGGCTTCACATGAGAAGACTGATAATTTTACAATAGTGGGTGCAAGTCAACATGTATGTGTAGCATGCATATCAATACATCAGAATTTGGGGAGGATTGTTAGTTGGCTGAGTTTTGACTATCTAGTGTTTCTGTAATGGTAACAAAAAGTACCAAATAAAGAGAAACAAGCCTCCATTTCACATGAATTTTGAAGTGAATAATTTGTGAGCCCACAGCCAGTTGACTCAGGAACATCTTTTCTATTCTACACACAGCTTATTTTAACATCTCTTTGAATGCTGCTGAGGAATTGGCACCTCTTTCACATTAAAAAAAAATAATGAGGGAGGAAGCAGAAGGGAAGAAAAAAGAAATAATAATTTTAGCTCCTCTCAAAATCAGAAGTTAGCCTTCGATCAGGAATATTTCAACGTTACTGTTGGCTCCCTGCATTTGATAAAACATTGCCACGCCACTGAATTCACTTGACACTGCTTCCTCTCAACTTCTGACTAGAGCTGACTGAAACCGCTTGATTATGCCTAGGGTTCTATTAAAAAAAAAAAAAACACCGCAACAAAACAAAACACAACAAAAAGCAACGACAACCCCCCCCCCCCAAACCAAAACACAACAAAGACCTGGAGAAACAAGAAATGTAGGTAGAGAATAAATCAGCCGAAAGTTGTTCATGCTTTAATAAGGACTGCAGATTGCTCTCTTATACTTGAAGATAATCTTTCTTATAACACCAACAACAGGAATGTCCTTTGGGGCCTGCTTACATTTGGTTTTAGAGCAAGTAAGAGGAACAACTCGGAGGGTGTGCCTCTCTTGGCAGTCACTAAACATTCAAGAGTTAGAGATGAAAAAAAAATACTTATTAGATCATTTTGTCCATCCTTCTGTCAGTGGAAGATAGTCCCCTGTAGTATATTTAAGTTCTTTGACCAGTCTGTTTTCAGTATCTCCAAAAATAGAAATTCCACCCATCCCCTGAAGAGATCATTTTAAACTCTAGCAACACTCAGTTTTAGGAAGTTTTTGTTAAGTATTTGCTTTACAACTTTCTAATTTAAAGTCTAATGTGAATTAACGTGATGCTTTTTTAACAGTTTACATCCCACTAACAGTTCTACACACTTCAGCCCCTTTGGTTACTCAAACATTTTTTTCTCCTTTGCTCAAATAACACAGTATTAAGTATGAGATCATTCAGGTTTTGTTAAGTGTCCTACAGAAATAGATTCTTTCTTGTCTGACCCAGAAAAATAAGTATTTCCACATGGAAAATATTACAGATTTTACTAAAAATGAAGTATTAGGCATGCATATGGAAATTTCAGCTTGTGTATATACAAAACTAACAATGCTTATTATTTTGGAAAATGTTATAGGAAATCAATAATGAGGAAACTTTCTGATGCTATTTGAAATCCTCAGTCACTGGAGCGCTCTAAGACTATATTTACAATAAAATTTTATTAGGAGCTTAATCATCCATTAAACAGGCAATCTGTAAACACAATTCTGATGCATCTGCCATAGTAGGTGTCACTGCTGAGCTCCTGCATGTCACTTCAGAATTTTGTAATAATGCATCTTGTTTTGACTGAAGGACCACTGTATCAATCCTACCTTAATGAGATTTTTTTTCATGAATCTTAGAGATGTTTACTCCTACCAATCATTAACACTGGACAGACAGTGCATGTTACTAATGGGGAGGATTCTAGCCTTCAGCTTCTCATGGGTTTTATTCACCTCTCCCCCTTTTCGAGGCTGCCACCCAAACCAACTTCCTCTTGTTATGCTCCCTGTATTCCTTAGTATCTCTATTTCTTTTGTCTTGACTCTTTTTCACAGAAAAGTCTGTTTTGAAGTTTTATCATCAGTTCCACTTAAGGCTAAAACTAGAGTCTTCCTATGGAAAACACGTTAGTATCGGTGATTCAGAACAGGAGGGTGTATACAAACTCAATCGTTTTTAAAGAAAAACCCCAAAGTCAGGTTGGCCAGTTGCTGGCTCACCCGGTTTCTTAGGAGTCTCCCCCTTCCCCCCATCAGACTGCTGTAGGGATTTGGGACCTCCCCAAACTTCAAGTCGGGAAGCAGGGCTTTCAATTCATCTCCATCCTCTCTTACAGGCTACACAAAAGTTTAAAATCCTAGAATCCCGTGGAATTAAGTTCTTTTAAAAGGAGAGCTTTCATTCTTCTGCGACTCAACATTTGGAAGCATGCTTTTTCAAACAATAATAATAAATAATAATAATAAATAATAATAGCAGCAGCAGCTCTGCTGGGCTTCAAGGCTCTCACTCTCTGTAGAACTGTGGAAGTTTGTTTCTTACTGAAGCTGCAGTGCAAAGGAGAAATAAATAAGAGCTTGCAACAGAAACAAAACAGTCCATTCTTGGAACTGAATTTTTGTAGTGGAGCTCCCTCTGCCCAGCCCTTCAGTGCCAGAGCAGGAGTTTTTCATATATATTACCATGACAAATGTAGGCCTTCATCTAATTGTTTTTACCTGCGCAACCTCTTCAAAGTCCTCATGGCGTTTCTGCAAAGCTCTAGCCCGATGCAGGGATTTTCCCACTCCAGTATGTTTGCTAAGAAAAGCTTCTCCATGGTTTTCAATCCAATCCAACACCTGTGGTACAGAAGAGACACACACAAAAGAGGATGTACTGAATGTTGCAACAAAAAGACAACTATTCAAGAAACTAAGAAGCTGTAAAGGGACTGCTTATAAGGAACTGTACTGTTGGATTAAAACACTGTATTGCCATTGAAGGACATTAATTACATCTCATTAACTTTTCTCAAGGCAGTAACTAGCTCAAACTAGCTAAATCGTATGATTGAAGATTCTACGTTTATTTTGAGGCCTACCAAGGACAACCTCATTTCAACACATTCATCAATTTGACAGTAATCTGATCCAAGTGGCTAGACCCCTTGTGAGGGTCTCTCTGTAACCCGTTTATGCCTTCAACTGACATTTTTTTGTAATGTAACACTAATGGAGTTTGCACATTCCCCAACAATGCTGGTGAATAACATAGTGAAGTTTTATTTTAGATGAGAAGTCGCTTCTCCTACTAATATTAAGCCAAGAAGAAAGATGCAGTAGTAGAATTTTTAACACCATAAAATTGAGTTGAAATCATTATGAGATGAATGACAATGTCTGCATTCAGAGCATATGAAGGATTCTGCCCCAATTCTGAAGAAGCATCTCCTCAAAACATCAGATAGACATAATTGTGCATTGTAAATTTTATAGCTGAAAAAGTGAGGAATGAAAGACATTTTAAGGACATTAAAGCTTCTACCACAATGACTGGGCTGACAGCTTTATAAATAGTAAAAACTGTACATGTAATTAGTTCCTGCCAGTTAACACAAAGGATTACTGCACACATACCAAGTTTCTGATGAGTGAATGAACAAAAACATCTGGTCTCTCTTCAAACTAATACATCTTAGCCATTTCTTAATTCATTCGTTAGCTAGCATGGATACGGTATTTAATTCTTTGGAAGATACTCAGAGGTTCAAGAATGCTGTTCACAATTAAAGACAACTGGATATAAGCAATTTTCTTAAGTCAGCTAACCATTTTTATACAGTATTTATGTACTGGTGTGGAATACTTTACCTAATATCTATCTCCAGCATTCTTTTTTCTTTAAAATTGGAGTATTTTGTTTTGTTTTGAATATACCTGCCAGAAACCTGTACCTTATCTCTCCTTATCTACTAGGGTCCTTTACTCTGATTCCTGAGGTTGGGTGAGTTTTTTTCCCCCTTTTCCTGTACTGAAAACATTTGACAGCATAACAAAAGAGAAAGACTTTTTTTGTTTGTTTGTTTTCTTCCAACCATTCCTGCAACATCACTCATGGCTACATTCAATACACATGTAATACCACACACTGCCCATACAAAACATCCATGCTTTCTTTAGTAGGTAAAATGAAACCACCTGGTGTGATTTTCTCATTTATCTTTACTGTTGGAATCTTTTTTGGTTTGCAAACTCTCTCCTACTGGACATCTTCAAAAAAACAAACAATCCCATAATGCCACATAATACAGCCATCTCAAATCACCAACACTTATGCAATGTTTGTTTTTCCTAGGAAGTATTGCCAAAAGAATATTATTGTGTTTTAGGTCAATGTACCTTTTCATTTGCTTCTTTCAAGGAAGAGTATTGATCAGAGAAGGCAGAGTGAAGAGCCAAACATGGCCTCAGTTATCTGTAAACTTTATATTACCAACGCTTTTTACTAGTTTCAGGAGACTACTCTGCTTTTTTCATTATAAAAAGAGCTAAAGAGACACGTTTGGATCAGAGAATTAGACCGGACTCTGGAGACTACTAACAGTTATTAGCTAACAAATGAAATCAACAGCAAAATCTGCCCCGGAAAGCATGGGATGAAAAGCAGAAAGCAGCCCAGGGAGAACGATTTTTGCTCCAAATAATGTTCAGTAACTTCTCGAGAGAAGAAATTGTCATAGAAATCCAGTACACAGATCATGACATAACCCAGTCAACTACAGAAACATTGCTGCCTCTAAGTGAAATCAGTATGAATACAAGTCTTACTAGACCTCAGCCTTCTTACCTTGATTCTTAACAAAACTGAAGAAGCACTCTTTATTTGGAAATTTCACAGCATGTAAAAGCAGAGTCAAAGTTATGGTATGCTCTTGCCTGTCAGTGAGAGCTTTTGCATACTACCAAAGGACAATACTGTTAGCTGGCACTGATATTAGCCATTTGGCAATCTGAAATGATACATTTTCTTCCTCTTCCTGGGAGAGGTAAGAGTTACAGAAACCACCATACCAACCCACTTAAGGACTTGTCTACTAATACTGAAAGCACATGGAATTCACTCCAGTAGTTCAGTAATACATAGGAATTTAAGAGGCTCAATACTTTTCAGTATTGATAATCCTCCACTGTAGCAAGTTACTCTAATGATGCAATTAAGCTCTAACTGCAGTCTCAGCAGAACCATCCTTATGCCCAACACAGAATCTAGAAAACACACTTATTCTTAAAACACCAATACTGAGTATATTATAGAAGAAACTAGTATGGAAAGATGGCTTCATCTTGATAAATTCATTGCTCATGGCTGTAAAATGTGTGTTTTGTATATGCTGTTTGCAGAAATAAACAATCCGATCTTTTGCAGACTCAACATGCTCATTTTCACCAGTCTTCCCCATATGATTATCCAGTCCTTAACACACACCCCCCACCCACCCCCAGCTACTTTGCACACTCACTTTTCTGATCTCCACCACTTACTTCGTGCTGACATAACATTCAGAGGGGAAGATGGAAATCTCTGCCTTTCTAATCTTCGGACAGTTAAAATGTGGAAATACTCCCAAAAAGAACTGTTTCACACTGGAACCACCTCCAAAAGCCACAGGAGGGATCACGCAGTGAAATCAGTATTATTTTGACGCTGAGCAAGTAGCAAGCATTCTTGGCCCACCCTTCATTAGTCAAGGCTGAAACAAGCGACTGTTACAACAAAAACTCGGACAGAGTCTTTGAGTCAGGCAGATCAAGGAAGGAGAAGCAGCACATTTATCCAGAACATACAAAGACGACACCTATGGTCAGCGAGGACCTAATAAATATGTGTTTTGAAAAAAAACTACTACAAGTACCTTTTACTACTCTCTGGCTTGCAAGCCATCAGGAGTGTTTTTCAGGCCCAAAAACTTTCACTGTAGGGAGTATCAGCAGTATCACTCTACCAGAAACATTATCTTTGTGTTCAATTTTGACCTTTCACGGCTTAGCAGCACAAAACCCCACGTTGCTATTACAACTCTGCTTTATTTCTTCATATCAGAGCTGTCAGAGAAAGCTCCTTTCCTTTCCTTATGTGAAAGGCTGCCGTACATTATCCACTTGGTGAGCTCGTTAATTCTTAAGCATGAAATTATGCTTTTATTACCATGTTTTACACTAGAGAGGTTATTTTCAACAATTGAGTGCAATAGCCAATGACCTGACTTTTATTAAAAAGCCAAACACACCCCCTCTTCTTTGGTGTTAATATACAAACTAACCAGGAACTAGATCTCCTGGCATGTTTCTGCTATCTAAGGTGAATCTCAGAATTCTGTTCAGTTTAAGACTGTCATAGATTTTCACATTTCAAATTTCAGATTTGCTGTGATTCACATCTTATCTACTATTTTTAATATTTCATGTGCTACTTTCCTTACTACTTGCCCCAAGAAATTAGCGGATGATTCTTGGTGTACTTAGCTAGCACTACAGTGTTCTTGTTGATTTGGAAAGCTCCACTAGAAGCACTTCCCCAAGACTGAACATACAAGGGGGGAAAAAAAAAAACACACCACCAAACCAAACAACGAACCAAAACAACCCCCACCAACCATTTTTCTAAGGTGGAGGTAAAACAAAATGAAGTACCAGCTCAACACAGCCAATTCCCTCCTCCAACTCAGCTCTGTCACTCATTTAACACTTCCATGAACTGATTTCATTAATCCAGTAGAAAACTACGCCAGCAAAGGGAAGAGGAGGAAATCACAGATTCATGCTGAAGGACAGTTACAGATTAATTTACAATGCACTTGGTTGCTTGCCACTATGTGCAATTTAACTATAAACAGTGGAAGACAGCCGCGCTTAGTTTACTTTGACATTAAAAAACCCCCACATTTAACTTTGCTGACAATAATTAAAAAAGATTATCATGCTAGTTTCTAAATCATGCTAAATAATCTTAATTGAATTTTTTAAGGTTTGAACAAAGACTAAGAAGCCTGAGAGAATGTGCAAATGAAAACTAAAGTACTTTAGAAAGTTGCTTTGGAACTCTACATAAACCATTCCAGAACTGTCTTGAATATAAATTTAACCAATGCCTCAAGCCCAAGTAATTTCATGCACTGAATGGTGTCAATGAACATTCAGTTGAAGAGCTACATTTCTCAGATAAATTAGATGATCTGATAAGGTTGTTTTGGTTTTGTTTTGCATGAAAAAAGAAGCCTTATTATTCAAGATCACTTTTTCCCCCCCCAATGGATTTTCAAAGCTGAGAGCACTTCAGTCTGCCAAAGCAAGGCTATTCCAGGAAAATACCATTATGTGTTTGCCGTTATCTTTAAGGCATCTGCTCCTGGCTACTATTAGATTAATTTGTCTGGTATGGATGTTGAATTATCATCGTCTTACAGCATGATCTGCACTGAAGTGAAAGTATAAAAAGCTGTATTACAAAAGGCAATATTACCCACAATTCGCATTGTGATTCACAAGGCAGTGCCCAAAACCCACCAATATCTGAAAGTTAAAGTAACGTAACAAAGAGCTATACTTCCTCATGCAACATTTCAGAAGCCTCCAGCGTGGATGTTAATGGCCATTACAGGGATAAAGCAAAGGACAATCCCAGTCTCTGGCAGTGATAACTACCAGATATTAAGGGAAGGGCTTCGGAACATGGCAAGCAGGGGCTGTATCTCTGTACATAAGATCTAGTTTGAAATCTTAAGTGGTTGATAAAGATGTGCATTAGCACCAAAGGCTGCAGCTTCAAATTGTCAAGAGGATATCTTGATACCTTAATGCAAGATCTGCCTTGCAAAGCATATAAACCAGAGGCGTAAACAGGAAGAAAGAAATTTCTCCCACCAGTAGGTAAGGCATGTACTGAATAATGAGCCTAGATGGATTACCCTCATGAGCCAATTGGTTCATACTGAAAACTTCTGGTATACTCACAATCGACATGCATGATTTGGATAACACATTCTTAATATTGGAAGTTATAAAAATAGGTAAAGCTGTCTCCTTTGTTGTTTTCAAACCTGTGACTATTTGATGTTAAATGCATGAGTTCCAGGGGCTGACAGGTCTCATACAGAGAAGGAAAATCCAGCTTCGCAATGAAGAACCTGGTGGTGACTCCACAATGACTTGAGTCTACTGAAGGGTTATTTGCCAACTTCAAAGAACAAAGCAGTTTCAGAGCTAACTCCTCCACTCCAAGAGCCATGACTTAGGAAGAGGCAGAAAATGAGAATTTCCTACAAACATAGTAAGACTCTCCGTAGCATTTAATGAACACCTTCCCCTGGGAAATAAACTGCCTGCAGCCTGGCCTACAGGCCTGAAACCCGAATTATGTATCTGGTAAATAACCTCAGAGGATCCCTTTGGCCTAGGTTGCCTAAGTAGGCCCTACTTGGATTAAATTCAAACTAGAGGAGAAAGTTCCAGGATCCAATCTGCATTTGTTGGCACTAGGCTACCACTGAGAGGACCTACATTTTTCCCTGTGAGAAGCAAACCACTGTGATAATTTCAGTTTCTGAAGATTCCTTATGAAGCCTTTTAAGTTTAAGAGGTGATTCCTTTGTGGACTGTGCCTCATCAGTTTTGACAAGTGCCCTTCACTGACCACTCATGCAAGTACCTGCACTGGACTCTCCTGACTAGCTACTATTTATGTAGTAATCTTGATGAAGAGCCTCTAAGATTTATACAGTGGCATAACAATGTTTTCAGTTTGGTCCTCTATGCCCTTCCTGACCATTCATAACATTGACTTTGCCGCCTTTTACTTTTTTTGGCAGCTAACATTCTTCATGACTTTCTACATCCTTCATCACATCTGATTGTTGAGAAGTTGGATAACTGCCTGCCTTTCAATATATTCCTCTTTTTACATCAAAAATTAAGTAATAAGGTTTTAGTAATTTTAAACTTAATTTAGTGCTTAAGTATTTTTTAAGCTGTTTTCTTTAACTTACAGGAGGAGATAGGCACTGCATGTAGAAGAAAGTTGAGCTAACAAGATTGCTCACTTTCCCCACCGCCTGCCTGAATTAAGTATCTTTGGTCAACTACTGTAAATAATAGAAACCAGGTTATTTCACTTCCAACTGCTCACATCCAGCATTCTTCTTGAAAAAGGTGAGTACAAGAAATTTGGCTTAAAGTGCAACTGATCTGGAAGAAACAAGATTAGTTTAACCAGAATGTATGACTGGCTATGCAAAAACTACATTCAGAAGTTCCTGATTTGTGAACACCTTTAAACTGAAATGAAGGAAATGATCAGCAACTGCTGGCCATCTTTACTTTTTTATGAAGATGAGCTATTAAGGGACAAATTACTGACATCTCTGTCAATTGCAGCCTAAAGCAAACATTTTATGTTTATTAAAAACCTATCAAAGGAATTCTTTACAGCTTTACCTTTTTAAGCTAAAATCATGTCAGACATATTAATGCCTGTACTTGACTAGTAACTTTTATGGATGTCATCATAATAATAAAAAAATGGCAGCTAATAACCATTAATTCAAGAACAGCATCATTGTTGGAAAGTAATCTTATCTGTAATTTTTATACCTCTTTAGTATACTACTCTCAGGTTTTAAAGAAACCTGATTAAGTCAATTAAGTATCACAGAAGATTTGAAACTATAAATTTGTTACAGAATAACACTTAATTTTTTGCATGATACTCCCACAAGTCTTTCTGACACTTCAAGTCCAGAATTTTACCTAGAACGTGAACGTCAGCCTCCAGCACAAGCTCAGAATAGCCATCTAGAATAAAAATCCTTTTCATCCTATCTGACATAAGTAAATAAAGTAGTTAATTTAAGAAAAGAAAAAAATGAATCAGCCCTAACTTACAAATATAATTTCTACCTGTAACAGCCAATATCCTCTGATAACACACAGAACTTGGAATCAGTCAATCCCATGCAACTATTCAATTGTTGAATGGAGAAACAGAGTGTGGCAATCAAAACCCACCCGTTATTGCAACCAGCATCAAACCACAGGCTGACAGAGTAGAAAAACATTTAGACAACATGAAATAAAACCTACCTGTTGAACATCCTGTTGGAAAACACATAGCTGAAGCCGCTGGTGCAAGCGGACCTTTCGATGCTGCCAAATATTTTCCAGCTGGCGCTGGTGGTGCAGTACTTCATGGATGACATCCAGAACATGATGAACTGCTTTTGAGTAGTTGGCAGAAGCAGTGAGGGAATCAGAACTCCCAGGAGTCAAAGGTCTCTGAAGTTTGTCAAGCAGTGACTTTCCATCTTGGCTCACCTGACCACCAGAAAGGACGAAGAATTACTTGCCTTGCCAAAAGCTTGTTAGACTATTATTTCATTCCCCACCCCTTCTCCCCATTTTTCATGTCTTTAAGAACTTAGGGAGCAGTGATGAAGATTTTTTTATTCCAGGCATGATTACATGCACCTGTTATAGAAGAAAAAACCCCACCATATAAAAAAATGTATATTCTCCCTCTATGTAAGACAATTTTAAGAAGTAGCACTCTTCTAAATAACAGCCTGTCTTTTGGTTTTTCGATTACCTTAACACTGCTTTTCCTT